GTGATTCTTCGGAAAATGGCCAAGGGAAATAAAACTTCTGGGAGTTGAAGCTCAGAGAAGTCACATCCCCAAAGGTCATTTAAACAAGAATATTTGTGTGGAAATAAGAGATTGTCATGGAGTTGATTTGCTGCTCGTACACTCTGGTATGCGACCTTTACCATTACGCTGGAAGAGAATCATTGTAATGTACTCATTATGAGTTTATTTAACACAGGCCTAACTACTTTCATAATATGATAACATTTTATTTGTAGTTTTCTTCTTTTTCTGGAGTGCATCATCTTTATGTCGGACATTTTTTTCCCCATTTTTCCACTAAACAGCCATTCCAGAGAACGGAGTAATTTAATGGGATCTCGGTGTCATCATTGTCTCTTTATCACTCAGAAAGATGATGAGTCAGTTGTTCACGACCAGGATAAAGGACATGGCACATTAGTTATGGGTCAGCAGTAGCTCAGGAGGTAGAGCGGGTTGTCCAGTAACCGGAAGGTTGCATGTTCGATCCCGGCTCCGGCCAGAGTATGCTGCTGTTGAGTCCTTGGGTAAGACACTTAACCAACCTTACCTGCTGGTGATGGTCGGAGGGACCGGTGGCACCAGTGCTCTGCAGCCTCGCCTCTGTCAGTGTGCTCCAGGGCAGCTGTAGCTACACTGTAGCTCATCCCCACCAGCGTGTGAATGGGTGAATGACTGATTGTGTTGTGAAGTGCCTTGGGGGTTTGTAGAACCCTAAGAAGGCGCTATACAAGTACAGGCTATTTACCATTAGAACTTGGGATACAGAGAGGCGTACTGCTAGTGTTTACTGGATACATTCTGTTTCTTTATTGGAGACCATAAAAAAATCATTTAAACATTCATGATTATCTGCATTTCGCTAATGCACCAATTCTGTGGCCTCATCTATGAACCGTACTTTCACACAGATCTGTGTGCATTAGTGCGTAGGAACTTATTTACACATTGTGTGGAATTCATTATTTTGCACTCTGCATGGAAATGTTACTAAATATAAGAAAACTATAGACCACGCCTACGAACAGCATCTAGTGGTAGAACGAGGGAACTAAATCATCCATGCGTTTTCCTCATCCACAAATGACTCTACCCAATAAATAATTATTTTGGTGGAACAACAGTTGTTTCACATTATTGGTGCTAAACCACAGGTGACCGACGGGAATCTGACATTGTAGAATGGCTGATGTCGTGTTATTTTTTTAAATCACAATTTTTACTCTTCCCATTTTATTATGTTTTTAATTTTTAATATCTGTTTTTAATTTTATGTAATTGCTGTCCTTGAAAAATCTTGTTTCTTCTTCTTCTTATTATTATTATTGGAGGATTTGACAGAGCATGCTCTCGAAGTACCCGAGAACCTCCTCTGCTCCTTGATCATACACACCACGTTGCCAAGGTAACCAGACTGAATGACAGCTCAGAAGAGGTTGCTCTCGACAACATTTCCTAATTAAACTAACTGTAAACAGAACGACTCCTTAAATGTAAAATGTAAATGGCAACTCGTTACTCTACGATTTATCATATTAAATCTTTCATTTATTTATTCCTGACAACATTTATTTATTTTCTGCAACCTGTTTGCGTATGTGCTACTTTGGCAGCCAGTGTCTCAATAATGTACTTTTTTTTGTTTTGGGAAAAGCCCAGGGAATTCCCTCACATGCTGAGGACATAGCGTTACTAAATATGGTTAATTGAGGGCGTTTCTGTATGTAAATGACTGAACGAACACAAGCTCCTGGGTATGCAGAGGTGGGATTTATCAGCAGACGATTGCGGAGGAACATGCGTACAAGTGGCTACCGTATGGTTCACAAATCAGGATTTTGACCCTTTGTACACACGTTGTAAATTTCATTCATAGGAAGGAATATTTCTATGAACATTTGATTAATGAGGGCCCGTTTTTTTAGGGCTGATACAAATTTCTGGTCTTTACAGAGCAGCTCTGATCTGATTCAGATATATCTCGAAGAACAATAGTTAATATATCATTTGGTACATTTTTAAAATTCTGATTGTGGAAGTAAAACATAGCATATGATAATCTCAGTGATATTGTGAATCAACGCTTAGCCATGGTGAGTTCACAGATTGGGATGTTTGACTTATTTTGTTGATGCTTGGCGGTTTTATTCTTATAGCACATTTCATAAACAGAAGCAAATCCGTGTGCTTTTCAGGTGCAAGAACAGCATAAAACATTTAAATCAACATAAAAACATAAAATCTATTTTAACCCTTTGATGCATAATGGTCACTACAGTGGACAGGTACTCACAATTGTTATTTACTTATTTTTTCTATTAAGCACAGCTGTTGAAGACTTTATTGCATGTGAGCCTCTCCATTTGGACTTCAGTAAGTCAAGCCAACACATTTCATGTTCAGAATGCACGCTGTCCTAGGGATGGGTACTGAATTTGGTACTTTTAAGGTACCGACCAAATTCCACAGTACTGACCGAGCACCGATTCACTTCATTTCAAACGGTGCCTCGTTTCGGTACCCGTCCTTCACAACATGAACTTGCCTAGACAGCTGCACATACGCAAGAGCGTTATGTCGTCGCTCGCTGCGAGCCAGTTGTAAACAGAGCAGCATGGTAGAAAGAACGCACACTAAAGCTTGGGTCCACTTCACTAAATGTGATGGGTAACTGGGTGATGAAACCAGTGACAACGATCTAAGTGAGACATCCTCATCTTAATCTGCTCCGGTAGGTAAATAAAGTGTTTAAGATAACGTTAGCTTGATTTGTTAGCTTCCTTTTCGCTAATGGTGCGTTCGCTTTCTCATCGGAACTCCGAATTTTTGACTAGAAGAACATGAACGTGCTCTAAAGTTTGGCTTAATTTTACTAAATGCGACGGGTGATTGGGTGAAGATGAAACCAGCGACAACAATCTAAGTGTGAGGCATCATCGTTTTAATCTACTCCAGCAGCTAAATAAACTGTTTAAGATAATGTTAGCTTGATATGTTAGCTTCCTATACCACCATTGCTATCATCTAATGGTGCGTTCGCTTTCTTCTCGGAATTTTTAACTTCTCAGTAGGAAAAATCAATTGAAAAAGGACGGTAAAAGGAATGAAGATACACAGTAAATTTAGTTCACAGTAAAGATGTTTGCTTCAGTTTAATTATCAGCTTATAAAACTACAAGGATGATGTTAAAATACAAACAGTTGAATGTTATTTATCGTGATATTTATCAAATATGGTTATAAATTGAGAAAAATATATATTTAATATTTTTAATTCTCTTTATAATTAAACACTCAAAAGTATCGAAAATTGGTACAGTTAAGTACCAGTATCGATTCATAGGTATCGGGAATTAGTACCGAATCGATTCAAATGTCAAAGGTACCCATCCCTTCTGTCCACTGAGGTGGACATGTCATAAATTATTTGTAAATTATTAAATGTTACAAAAGATATTTGTTGAAATTAGTTTCATTCACACCTAAAGATGAATGAAAAAAATTGTTTAAAAAAATCATGGTTAAAGATTTCATAATTCATGCATCACAGGGATAAGATACACTAATTAAATGTAAGAAATAAAATGAAAAGGCTACGTTAAAGACTGGTGGATTCATAGTCCTTCCTCCCCCCCCCCCCCCCAAAAAAAGTGGGAGCATTCCTCAATTTTGTCTCTGCTTCAGTGTTGCTCTCTTTCAAAATAACAAAACAAACAAATATTCCTTATGACAATTGCACATTTAACAGAAAATGTACATTTTAGCTTTACTTAAAAATCAGCTGGTGATCGGAATCTGTTCATATTCATCATGATCAACCTACGGGAATGAAAACTTCAGAATTTAGCTTTTTGGCTCATCAAAGTTTAAAAAGCATAGATTTTTTTTTAAAAGCTGACATTTATTCTGTTCATGAACACATCATCACCACGCCCTAATTCATATTAGCAAAAACAGATCTTCCAAATTGAATGTTATATTTTCTAAATTAATGTAAAAATTCTAGGTTGTCCTTGTAATTTGGAGTAGAATTTGGATGGGAATTCTGCTCATCTGGTATCTATAAGCTCCTCAGTCTCTCATATGGAACTTTTAGAAAGGAAAAGGCATTATAACTGGGCCATTTACATTATATGCTTATGACAAGAACACATAATTTACTGGTAAATGTTTTAATTTTAGTTTTAGGATGAAAACCTGCAGGAAACCTTTCAGATCAGAACCTGGTGATCAAACAGATACACAGAAATTGATCATTACTTCTTTTGTTCAGCCCACTTCCTCATACAAGCTGTCCCTCCTGCTAAATTACAAAACATGGGGAATTTAATATCAAGGATGGATGACTGTCTAGTGGACCATTAACTCCTCAGGTGCTACAGTGTGAAACCTTTGTTTTTCTTCAGAGAGACAACTATATTCTCACAGGATGAGTGAGGAAAAGTTCAAATGAACAGATGCTTATTATCTATCAACGCAGCATTGATTCCTGCTTTTTACGTTTCCTGGTCTGGTTAGGAGCTTGCCCCATGGACGTAATTTTGGGGGGGGACAGGGGGTACATGTCCCCCCCACTTTTTCCAAAGTCAAGTTTTGACCCCTGCACTTTTTAACCATCCAAAAACAATATTACTTTATATTAAATTGACACTGGTTGAGCTCTAGGACCAAGCAGAAAGCAACCTTTTGTGTTGAAGCCTGTTTCCCATTAGAACATAATGTAAAGATACCCCTCCCCCCCCACACACACACACACACACACACACTTCTAAAGTGAAAATCCACGTCCATGGCTTGCCCAATAGGTTAATGTTTTATCACAAACATTTTTGTAGTCAAATCTGTTTCATAATGACATAATAGTTCCAGAACATCAACAACGACTTCATACAGAAAAGCAAATTACTGATAAATATAAGGCTAAATGTTAGATTAATGTCAAGGGCCACAACAATAATAATAATTGTAATAATAATAATAATAATAATAATGATACTATTCAGATGTTTTATCTAACTGAAGTGATGTGCTAAAAGCACAAAATTACAACCTTGCTGTCTTGTCTTTGTCAGGTTAATGATTCGTCATCTTAGTAATCTTTGTGAGAACTAGAACGATGCGGGTTTGAGCGATGAAGCATGCATTTAATGTTTAGCTAAGTTGCAAACACTCTGAAAGAGTTGTTTGGATTTTAGCTAATCAGTAATGCAGAGTCAGGGTTGTGCGTTTTGTCCTGAAACAAGAAGAACGCATAAAATATCAGGATGCAAGGAGGCGCAGCTTTAGTTCCTCACGTTGCCCCTGAGGCTTTGGGGGGTTGGGGGTCCTTTTGTTATGCCTAAGGGAACACAAACACTTTTTTCAGTTACTATTGAACTTTATCTCAAATGACAGCACTATTTTGTCTTGTCGAGTCATGCAAAAGGAAGTCTGGTTATAGATAAGCTTTTTTCTTTAGAATTACATAACTAGATTTGTGTATTTTCCTTTTCGTTAAACATCATAATGTCTAAAGCTTTGTATCTCAGTAAAAAAAATACTGCTAAAATTAGATGTTTTCCTGATGCATGCTGGGTAATGTTTACCAGAAGTGTAAACTGAGTTTTTGTGCTTTCAAAGCTCTGATGTCTGGCTTTATAAAAAACTGGGGTTCAGATAAGTCAGAATGATGTAAAACAGCATTTATACAGAATTTGCTTTTGTGCTGTAGGTGAGTTGCTTAAAAGGGACTTTTTAAAATATTTTGTTGGTTTTTAAATGTTTGTGTTTTGGGGTCAAAGTGAGATATGCAATGTTTAACTGTTAAAGCACGGCTAAAAGGAAAGTTATTTTGATTAACTTTAGTATTTTCGTGCAACATTGTTGCTCAGCGGTTGATCAGTTATTGAACCATCTAACAGTAAGTGACTAACTGCTGCCCTCTGCTGGAATAGATCATTCACTGCTTCTTGTTCTTCTTTTGTTTGTACAGAGCATCCAACCAGGTACGAACCACAAGAACACACACTCTTTCATGTTAAAATCACCCTTTGTTTTGTCTTTATACATTTCAAGTGATATGATACATCACATTATACTTTTTTGTGTTTTATTAGAGATTTTTAACCATTACACTCGCATGTAAGGGCTTTGAAATGGAACTTTTTGCTGAATCTTGTTGCAGAATTTATTGTTTCCTTCTTTCTCTTTTAAATCATCAAATATCAATGAAGATAACACTACCAGTGACACCACAACTTCACCTATGGCATCAACATCTCCACTAACAACATCATCTCCAATTCTCACGACAACTTTTCCACCAACAACAACAACTCCACCAATGACCACCCTTGCTGGTATGTTGGCGCCTAACAGCATCTCATCTGGTAACAGTTTTGTTCGTCTCCTGAAGTCGTCTGACATAGAATAGAAAGTGGATGATAAGGAAGAAATATAAATTCACAATCTCAATTTTATCATGATGTAGATGCATTTTTACCTATGGCCTTGTTCTTATTTCTACCATTACAACACTGGTTGAAAAAGAAGACTTTGTGAAATTAACTAGTATTAAGTAAACACATCTTACGCAGTACTTATTTAATACTGACGTCTCTCTGATTCGCAGTACTTGGGCCGGTCACCAATCTCACGGTAGGGTTTGTGACATCATCCTCCTTGTATGTGACCTGGACTGGACCAGTTGGAGGACAGATCACTAACGTCACCTGGACAGGTGGAATTACCAGCAACAGTGAATCTGTGTCTGTATTGTTCAAGAACATTACAAACCTGACTCCTGGAGTCATGTACAAGATTTCTGTTACCCCGATGGTAAACGTCACAGCAGGAACGACTAGCTACGTGTCTCAGTACACAAGTAAGTACTCGTTCAGATTATTTTCCAACTGCATGTCAGAAATAATACAAATGCAAGAACAGAAGGGTTATGTCTGCTGTTTGCTGACTAATAATATACCTGTGGTTTTCATGCACGCATGCTTTTGCAAAGTGTATTTTTCATGTATTGTTTTTCTACTCACCCTGTCACTCACAGAGCCAGAAGCAAGCTAAAACCTTCACAACTTCCTTATTCCTAAACTAAACTGAAGCAAACGGGAACTGGGCCTTTTAAGTGAACAAATGAGCAGATTAACGACTGAGTGAGGAACTTAGATTAGTTTTATTAATGAATTTACTTATTTATTTAGTTTTTGTTTTTATTTATTTTGCTATAACACCAATTGAAGTAAAGCCATAAGTTGAGCCCGAATCCAGCTCCTGATGAAAGTGGTCCTTTGACAACAGCATAAGTCGGCAGTAGAGATCAACACTTGTGTTTTGCCCTGTGTGTCAGTTTGATTAATATAAATGATTGTGATTAGAAGAAAACTAGTTCAGTTTATCTGGCACAGTTGTGGTAAAGTTTCTGCTTGAAATCAAAAGCTGTTTTATTTACTTGAAAAAGAAAATGTTTTGAAGCCAGAACACATTTTCTAAAAAGTTAACTAAAAGGTTCAAGTAGATATTTCAAATAAGTTTGTGTTACGATTGACCTTCGGTTAGGATTATAGCTACAGAGATGGCGTGCCTCTGGTTTCCAGTGAAAGTAATGCAAAACGTAAAATATCACATCATTTTCACTCAACACATTTTTCCCGCGGAGCCTGATGTAGTCAGTAGTCTCACTGAAGTTACGACTTCCTCTATATCTGTAAACTGCACTGAACTCTGTGGGGAAGCAGCTACTTCTTTAATGTGCAGTGGACAAATGGAACCACAACCAATAATGCCACTGTCACGAACACCAGTATAACCATTACTACCCTGACTGCTGGTGTCCGTTACCAAATAAACATCAGTGCTGTAGCTGAAGATGAAATTACTGAAGGATAGGCTGTCTCCTTGTCTCAGTATACAGGTAAGTTGTCATTACGGTATGACCAGAAGACCCGGTTAACCTGTTGGGGATATTGTTGATTTATTTAATTACCATTGTGCATGCGGTGATGTAGGGCTGGACGATATAGAAAAATTGTATATTGATAAAAAATGTTTATATTGATCAATATCGATAATTATTGAAAAAACTTAAATAAATTGTAGAAAATATATTTTACATACAGCCCTGGCCATTTTATTTTTATTTTATTTTATTTTTTCTCCACCTGTTCTCGCTGCGACATCTTGCTGTCTCGTGCTTTGTTTTGGGTTGATGGCATGGTGACGTAGCGTGACCGAGTCTGTGGTTTTGATTGGTTAGGAGTAAGTGGTGAGTCTAGTATGCTGCTACCTGATAGGTTATAATGAAAAAAGGAAACTTTTTTTAATGAAATATTATCGACCCATTTTTTTTCTGTTGCACCACGTCATGAACTATTGAATTATCGTCTAGCCCTACAGTGTTGTATGTCCTAACGGTAATCAAGGGTCCCACAGTCAATGGCTGCACTGTATGCTTGACCAAAGCAGCCAAACTATGCTTTAAATTTAACACCTATAATTTTAACCTTTGTTTCCCAAAATGCACCCATATCTCTCACTTACAGAGCCTGATGTTGTCAACAATCTCACTGTGAGTGCTCTTACAATAAACTCTGTGTCTCTAAACTGGATGAAGCCAGAAGGAAACTTCCTATTCTACACTGTAATGTGGGCAAATAACAGCCTAAACCAGCAGAGTAGCAATGTTACAACCACATATGTAACCATATCTGATTTGACTCCTGGAGTGGAGTATAACTTCAGTGTCACAGCAGTGGCTGGAGATTATACAACTATTGGAGAAGAAACAACAATCTCACTCTACACAAGTAAGATCTTTGTGGTTGTCTGGAAGGAAACTATGCTATCATTGCAAGTTCTTTGTTAGGTGTTGGCGATATGGTAAAAGAAACATACCTCTTTTTTAAAGTTGAATCAAAATGTTATTTTTATCATTGATTGATTGAGTGGTTGATTGATTTGTTGATTGATCAAGTGCTTAATGAATTTTTACTAATTGTCAAGTCACTTTTTGGCGCAAACCATTTCCTCATATAAAACAGAATAGAGAAATGCATAGAATGTGTCTTATTTGGTGCATTGACAACTGGATTGGCTTGGTCTAGCCATCATCTTTTTCTAAAGTATTTTTCTCAAAATGCACCCATATCTTTTACTTACAGAGCCTGATGTTGTCATTAATCTCACTGTGAGTGCTCTTACAATAAACTCTGTGTCTCTGAACTGGACAAAACCATGGGGAAACAACTTATTCTACACTGTAATGTGGGCAAATAACAGCCTAAACCAGCAGAGTAGCAATGTTACAACCACATATGTAACCATATCTGATTTGACTCCTGGAGTGGAGTATAACTTCAGTGTCACAGCAGTGGCTGGAGATTATACAACTATTGGAGAAGAAACAACAGTCTCACTCTACACAAGTAAGATCTTTGTGGTTGTCTGTAAGGAAACTTTATTATGACTAGTTTTTTGCAAGGTGCTGGTGATAAAGTGAAAGGATCATACCACTTGTTTTAGTAGTTGAATCACAATTACATTTTCATTATTGATTGATTTTCTTTACTATATCGATACGAACCATTCTCTCATATAAAACTGAATGGATATAGGCATAGAATGTGGAATGTGGAAACAAAAACAAAAGTTGTTTTCTTGCATTTGTCTATATACCTCAGCCAATAAAATGGCTCGGCCCAAAACTAACAATTGGACCCCCCAGCTGTTACTCTCAGTAGACCACCACACTTTTGCATTCACCTGGGTCCTCTACTCATTATGCGCTTTTCCTATTTGCAGCAGAACACCACTGGTGCAAGAGGTTATTTGCTCAAGAGTGTCAGACAAGGAGAAACAGCCAGCTTCTACCACTTCAACTTTAGAACAAACTACTAGAGTCCCAAAAAGAAAAAAAAATACATTGATGTTGTGGAAAACAAAAATCATTTAGACCTTGAAAATGGCAACTGCTGTTTTGTGCTCTTTTGTTTACTGTGGCAATGCGCATTGTGGTTGTCATGTGGATCTTGACTAGGAATGATAGCTGATGGGAGGGGTGAGAGCTCCCTGATCATGTTTACGTTTAAAAGCTAGCTTGTCTTACAGATTTGACTTTGCAGCTTTAATATTTTCACAAAAGCATTTTGACAAAAAGTTGATGTAATTTGCTGCAGGCAGTTGAATTGAATTTACTAGTTTTAGTGCTTGTTTGTCCATCCATGCATCCATTTTCCTTAGCTTATACAGGTTGGGTCACAGTGGCAACCGCTCAAACACAGAGGTGCAGCAGGAACTGGTCCAGTCACCTGCGCCAGCTCCTCCGGGGGGATGCTAAAGCATTTCTAGGACAGCCGAGAAACAAAGTCCCTCTATCATTTCCTGGCACTTTTTTTGGGCCTCCCCCTGGTTGAACATTCCCAGAAATTCTATTCAAGGGCATCATAACCAGATGCTTGAGCCACTTCAAGTGGCTCCTTTTGATGTGGTGGAGCAGCAGATCTACTCCGAGCCCCTCCCAGGATACAGAACTTCTTGTAATCTGAAAATCTGTAAAGGAAAGCTCAGACACCCTTTGGAGAAAACAACATTTTGGACGCTTATATCCAAAATCTCGTTCTGTTGGTAACTACCCTAAGCTTGTGAACATAGATGAGGGTTAGAAGTTAGATTGACTGGTAGTTTTGCCGTCTGGTTCAGCCCTCTCTTCACCATGATAGACCAGTACAATGCCTGCATCACTGTAGACACAGCACCAATCCGCCTGTTGGTCTCCCGCTCCATCTTTCGCTCATTAATGAATAGGACACCAAGATACTTAAATTCGTCCACATGTGGTCTGGTCCCTAACACGGAAAAGGCATTCTGTCCTTTTCCAATTCAAAATGGTGTCCTTCTGGGTTCGCTTCCCTGCCTGGGATCTTTCTGCAAGGAGTTTATATGTTCTCCCTGTGCATGTGTGGGATCTCTCGGAGTACTCCGGCTTCCTCCCACAGTCCAAAAACATGACTGTTGGGTTAACTGGTCTGTCTAAATTGTCCTTAGGTGTGAGTGTGTGTGTGCATGATTGTTTGTCCTGTGTGTCTCTGTGTTGCCCTGCGATGGACTGGCTCTATGTCCAATCCGCCTATCGATCTCCTGCTCCATCTTTAGCTCATTCAAGAATAAAATCCCAAGATTCTTAAACTCCTCCTACACATGAGACCTGCTCCCTGACCTGAAAAGGCATTCTATCCTTTCAAATTCAAAATTATGGCCTTGGATCAGCTCCAAATCAAGTATACAGGTAATTTGTCCTCACGGTAGGACCAGAAGATCAGGTTACCATATTGGATTACAGAAACTGGCGATCCTACATTGCTGAATGTTTTTGTTAAAATTCTACATGCAGTCATTTATTTCCAGACAGACATCAGGGGTTCCTCAGTCAATCACTGCACCGTATGCTTGACCAAAGCGATCACTCTAGACTTACATTTGACGATCTCTTACTTTCCACCTTTATTGTAAACTTTTTTTCCCCAAAATCCACCCATATCTCCCACTTACAGAGCCTGGTGTTGTCAACAGTCTCACTGTGAGTGCTTTCACAACAACCTCTGTGTCTCTGAACTGGACGAAACCAGAAGGAAACAACTTATTCTACACTGTAATGTGGACAAATAACAGCCTAAACCAGCAGAGTAGCAATGTTACAACCGCAAATGTAACCATATCTGATTTGACTCCTGGAGTGGAGTATAACTTCAGTGTCACAGCAGTGGCTGGAGATTATACAACTATTGGAGAAGAAACAACAGTCTCACTCTACACAAGTAAGATCTTTGTGGTTGTCTGGAAGGAAACTATGCTATTATTACTTTTTAATTTTGTTGCTAGGTGTTTACAATATGGCAAAAGAAACATACCTCTCTTTTTAGAACTGAATCACATTTACATGTTTATCATTGAATGTTACTAGTTGATATATTTATTGAGTGGTTTACTAATTGTCAAGTCACTTATTGGTGCAAGCCATTACCTCATATAAAACAGGTCTGAGAAATGCATAGAATGTGTTTTATTTGGTACATTCCCAACTAGGTTGGCTATAGCATCATCTTTTTCTAAAATATTTTTCTCAAAATGCACCCATATCTTTTACTTACAGAGCCTGATGTTGTCATTAATCTCACTGTGAGTGCTCTTACAATAAACTCTGTGTCTCTGAACTGGACAAAACCATGGGGAAACAACTTATTCTACAGTGTAATGTGGACAAATAACAGCCTAAACCAGCAGAGTAGCAATGTTACAACCACATATGTAACCATATCTGATTTGACTCCTGGAGTGGAGTATAACTTCAGTGTCACAGCAGTGGCTGGAGATTATACAAATATTGGAGAAGAAACAACAGTCTCACTCTACACAAGTAAGAACTTTGTGGTTGTCTGGAAGGAAACTTTATTATGACTAGTTTTTTGCATGGTGTTTGCCATATGGCGAAAGGATCTTACCACTTGTTTTAGTAGTTGAATTACAAATACATTTTCATTATTGATTGATTGATTCATTGATTGATTGATGATTTTTTTTACTATATGTTAAGTAACTCATTGATACGAACCATTCTCATATAAAACTGAAGGGACATAGGCATAGAATGTGGAATGTTGAAACAAAAATATAAAGTTGTTTTCTTGCATTTGTCTAAATACCTCAGCCAATAAAATGGCTCGGTCCAAAACAAACTATTGGACCACCCAGCTGTTACTCTCAATGGGCCACCACACTTTTGCATTTACCTGAGTCCTCCACACATCATGCACTTTTCCAATTTGCAGCAGAACACCACTGGTTACACACACACACACACACACACACACACACACACACACACACACACACACACACACACACACACACACACACACACACACACACACAAAGCAATCTCGTTCGGTTGGTAACTACCCAAAGCTCGTGAACATGAACATAGATGAGTGTTGGAAGTTAGATTGACTGGTAATTTTGCCGTCTGGTTCAGCCCTCTCTTCAACATGATAGACCAGTACTATGCCTGCATCACTGTAGACATGGCACCAATCCGCCTATCGATCTCCTGCTCCATCTTTAGCTCATTCGTGAATAAGATCCCAAGATTCTTAAACTCCTACACATGAGACCTGCTCTCTGACCCGAAAAGGCATTCTATCCTTTCAAATTCAAAATTATGGCCTTGGATCAGCTCCAAATCAAGTATACAGGTAATTTGTCCTCACGGTATGACCAGAAGACCAGGTTACCATATTGGATTACGGAAACTGGCGATCCTACATTGCTGAATGTTTATGTTAAAATTCTACATGCAGTCATTTATTTCCTGACAGACATCAGGGGTTCCTCAGTCAATCACTGCACCGTATGCTTGACCAAAGCGATCATTCTAGACTTACATTTGACGATCTCTTATTTTCCACCTTTAATGTAAACTTTTTTCCCAAAATCCACCCACATCTCCCACTTACAGAGCCTGGTGTTGTCAACAGTCTCACTGTGAGTGCTTCCACAACAACCTCTATGTCTCTAAACTGGATGAAACCAGAAGGAAACTTCTTATTCTACACTGTAATGTGGACAAATAACAGCCTAAACCAGCAGAGTAGCAATGTTACAACCACATATGTAATCATATCTGATTTGACTCCTGGAGTGGAGTATAACTTCAGTGTCACAGCAGTGGCTGGAGATTATACAACTATTGGAGAAGAAACAACAATCTCACTCTACACAAGTAAGATCTTTGTGGTTGTCTGGAAGGAAACTATGCTATCATTACTTTTTAATTTTGTTGCTTGGTGTTTACAATATGGCAAAAGAAACATACCTCTCTTTTTAGAACTGAATCACATTTACATGTTTATCATTGAATGTTGCTGATTGATTTATTGATTGAGTGGTTTACTAATTGTCAAGTCACTTATTAGTGCAAGCCATTACCTCATATAAAACAGAATTGAGAAATGCACAAAATGTGTTTTATTTGGTGCATTCACAACTGGGTTGGTTTGGTCTAGCCCTGAAAGTGTAAAAGAGTTTACAGCTGGGATATCTTTGTGATGTTTGTGCTGAGCCGATAAGTGTTTTTGGACCTGCTCCCTGGTGGTCAGCTTGGTGCTGAGCCGATCCAACACACCCACTATGGATTGATTTGCCCACCTACTAGTGGCTGCCTGTGATTGGTGGGTAGAATCACCCAGCAGTGGCATCCTGTGTGTGCAAATTTTTATCAGTCTGTGTGCTTTGGGGTGAACGCTCAATGGGCCACCACACTTTTTCTTTTACCTGAGTCCCCCACTCATTATGCTCTTGTCCAATTTGCAGCAGAACACCACCGGTGCAAGAGGAATTTGGAGATCCTATATTGCTGATTGATTTAGTTAAAGTTCTACATACAGTAATTTGCTGTTCAGTGAGAGTAGGAAGCTGTGTGCTTCATGTCAGAGTCTCCCAATGTAACTGCTGTTGCCTGCTTTACACCTGGATCACATCAGACGCAGAAGTGTGACAGTGCGCCATGGAACAAAGAGCGCTTTTATTCGACGCTATATTTAACCTATTGTCTCAATCACTTCAGCCGTGAAGCGCAACGAGGGCCCGTGCCGTGCAGCAATCTTTTCGGCCTGTGGTCCATTTTTTTCACAAGCCATGTTAATTCTGGCAGGAAGTCAATCCAAAACAGAATAGGCAGGCTGGTAAATTTAACAAAATAAAGACATTTTTCTAAATAAAACATGCGACTGATAAAAGTGTTCATTTTTGTGTATCTAAACAGACTACAGAGATGAAAATGAACAAAGACACAAACTCACACACTCCTGCAGAGAAACAGCATTTCCATAATTTTAAATGCAGTTTTTACAGCAAAAGATGGATTTAATAAATGTTAATACAAACAAACACGTTTAATTTAAAGGGGTTTAGAAAACAGTAGGAGTGAGCAGGAGCCCTTGTTGAAAATTCTCACCTGAAGTGAACAGAGGCGCAGTGGGCATCGCACAAAATTCGTGAGCGATCCACTTCTCGGCGCTTCGCAGCTGATGTGATCCTGGCGTTTACTAAATTGTGACGCTTAAGAAGGACGCCACAGACTGCATGCATCTTTTTGCCCCACTCGTGCTCAGACATCTGCATTTCTGAGAATGCTGTGTATGGTAAACAAAACCTGCATGCACAGCTAACCCAACCAAGACCAGAACGAGCTCACCCAAATAAAAATGAAGCAATAGACAACGCTACAATCCCTTTGCATCAGCAGATCCTCAACACAATTGAGTTTTTCATCATCTGTTGATTTTATGTAATATTATTTTGCAACATTAGCTGCATGGTTAAACCTCTGGGTAGCTTACCCCATAAAGGACCCCAAATCCTCTACAGTATTCTCTTGTTGGTAGTCACTCTTTGTTTTGTCTTGTGGTGCTGAAGTAGCGATGGCTGTGTTGACTTCAGCTTTGTTAAGCTGCAGCGATGATGTTGGACTGAGTGATTATGTGAGCCTTCAGGTAAACAGAAAACAAAAACATACTTTAGGTTGTTTGAGGCAATGTGCTGCTGGTTGCAGGGTTCCATTGGGAGTTAAACTAAATAAAGGTTTAGGGGGATTGATAACATTCTGTTGAACTGCTTTTCCTGACAGAGCCTGATCTAGTGAATGATCTTGCTGTCACTAAAATCACAACTTCCTCCATATCTGTGAACTGGACTAAACCGCTTGGAATGAGCTCCTTCTATGTAGTGCAGTGGACAGATGGAACCGCAAACAATAAAGCCACGGTCATGAACACCAGTATAACTATTACTAACCTGATTGCTGGTGTCCATTACAAAATAAGCGTCAGTGCCGTAGCTGATGATGAAATTACTGAAGGAGCGGTTGTCGTCTTGTCTCAGTATACAGGTAAGTTGTCCTTACGGTATGACCAGAAAACCCGGTTAACATGTTGGGTTAAGGAATTTGGACTTTGCTGATTGATGTGGTTAAAATTCTTCATGCAGTCATTTATTTCCTGACAGAAATCAGGGCTTCACTGTTTGCTTGACCAAAGCAGCCAAACTGTTTAGAAATGCATATCTCTTGTTTTAGCACCTTTATTTCTCAAAATGCACTCCTATCTCTCACTTACAGAGCCTGGTGTTGTCAACAATCTCACTGGGACTGCTTCCACAACAACCACTGTGTCTCTGAACTGGACGAAACCAGAGGGAAACAGCTTTTTCTACATTGTACAGTGGACTAATAGCAGCCTAAACCAGCAGAGTAGCAATGTTACAACCACATATGTAACCATACCTGAGTTGACTCCTGGAGTGAAGTACAACTTCAGTGTCACAGCAGTGGCTGGCGATAATAAAACTACTGGACAAGCAACAACAGTTTCACAGTACACAAGTAAGATCTTTGTGGTTGACTAGAAGGAAACTATGCTACCATTGCTTTGCTCTGCTAGTTTTTTTTTGTCAGGTGTTGGTGATATGGCAAAAGTATCATACCGAAAGTAAGATCATTATAGTGATGTCAAAGGAAATGTGGAAACATTTCTGAATGTGTCTTCTGATTGATTTGGATTCCAAACATTTGCTGTTACTTTTGAAGTTTTACAGTTACCTCTATTGTCAACAATGTGGTTGGTATTTATTTGAGTCCATGCTGAAGTTCATAATGGGTATAATAGCATTCAGGATCATGTTTCAATTTTGCACTTGCTTTTTTATGTCTATTTGTCCAACGTCTATTTAGACAGACTTTTATTCCATCTTCTTTTAGAACCAGGTAAAATTGAGGCCCCTGTCACAAGTGCAACCAATTACTCCATCTCCTTGAGCTGGCCCCCTCCGCCTGGTAATGTCTTCACCTATGAGGTGAAGTGGAGTAATGGTGCTAATTCAACACTGTTTAGCAAAACAACCTCCAACAACTCTGCGGTGCTAAACAACTTGACTGCTGGCACCAACTACACAATTACCATCACTGCTTTTGCTGGAGGCAACCAAGGAGACCCTTACACAATCAGTCAGTTTACAAGTAAGCCATATTATAGTCTTTTATTTAAAAATGTTTTCTAGTTTTTTTAATCTGATTTCATTGTGTATGCCATTATTATTATTATTATTATTATTATTATTATTATTATTATTATTATTATTATTATTATTATTATTATTATATTTTGGGGGGTTGTTCTTTTGCAAGGGCTGTAGAAAGCTGGTCAGGGAAATTTTGTGTTCTGTTCTTGCTTTTTGATCCATATCTAGAGGATGCTGATGCTGGTATATTAGTTAGTTGTACTTTGTACTTTTCAAACTTTTTTTTGTTTGGATTACAACTATCATAAAATAATAGAGTTTTAGAACTGAACTATTTAATTGTCTAACTATATAATAACCATTTTTATTTAATGATGCAAATATAACAGGAATGAATAAAATTGGCCATTGCCACGTACAGATCCTGCATCACAGGATACTAGACATACTAGTTCTGAAAGGTTGTTCATGAAGATACTAATCCCAATCTAGATGCTTTACTGTCAGAAATGCTTTTAGACAAATTTGTGACACTTGTCTAGTCCAGGGGTGTCCAGTCCTTTTATTGAGATCCCTAACCAGCATGTTTTACTTGTTTACCTGCACAAACACTTGTTATTTTAATCAGTGGATGATTAAAAGCCATCTGCTGACTATGATGACCTGCTGAACAGGTAATATAACCATTGAATCAGGTGTGCTGATGCAGGGGAAAAACTACTGGTTAGGGATTTGTGGACCAGGATCACATACCACTGGTCCAGTCTGGTAAATACGTAGTAAATGGCCTCTATTTTATCTGACACCTTCTAGAGTCTTAGAAGCACCCAAGGTGCATGGTAAAAGAGTTGTGAAGCTTTTTATGCTGTATGTTGCATTCCATAGAAATCAAATCTATTAGTTTTGCAAAAAGATTTTGTTCTGCATGTCGGTCTAGCCCTGCTTCATTTGAACCTCTGCAGCTCTGGTCACTGTTGTGGCAGGCAAATAACAGTGCTCTATCAGTTTTGTGGGCGGGATGTTACTGCAACTGAGTGAAACTAAGATGAGGACGGCTCGTTTGAAACAGCTTTGGTATCCAATTTGGACAATTTAGACTTGGGCTTTTCTTTGAGTCATGAGCAGGTAGAGGTGCTTAAGTCCTTTATTTCGAAAAAGGAAGTAGTTGTGTCTTCTTCTTTTTTTTTTTTTTTTTTTAACGTGTCCTGTCTGGCTGTGAAGCAAGCAGAATTGAGGTCTGAATGCTGGTGACAAGCCTTACAGATTTATTCTCAGGTGGAGCATCAAAGCGTTTGCTTTTAATGTCACGCCTGATACTTAAAACTTTATTGTTATTGTTGTTCAATGCTTTGTAATTCTGACCAGACACGGAGACAGAGGTGAAAGAGAAAGGAAAAGAAAAGGTGGGGAGAGAGAGAGAGAGGGGGGGGGGGGGTCCACAAAAATAAACAAAAATGAACAAGTCTGCTTCTAGACCTGCAGAAAAAAAAGACAAAAAAAAAACAAAGGGACACAAAAAAAGGGACACAACAACAATACAACAAGATCTACCTATCACTGCGTCAACTTGATGAAAAGAAAAAAATATATATATAATCAATATTGCTTAACTGAAGAATCACGATAATAAATCACAACGCATTAAGTGCCCACCATAGTCTTAAGACCTGTGTTTAACGTGCCCAAGCCCAAGTTGTGTCTTCTTCAACGGTCTATGGCAGACTGCCCCATTGACTGACATCCATAGTGGTAAGTATGTCAAGGTTGTTTGTAGTCTAATAGCATGAGGAGACGATTTGAAAGACAACCATAGATCCTGCCCCACGACTGATAGCCATCAATTGGATGGCTTGCCAGGCTAGTATACAGCTGAAAAACACCCAAACTCTTTAAACATATTTTTAGACATTTCTGTAAACATCCAGCTGTGCTATGACTGTACACTCGTTACTATAAACGTTGATGTTTTTTTCTTTTTCTTGCTCCACAGGACCTGAGAAGCCTGTAAACTTGATAGTAACAACAAGAGGAACTGACTTCTTAAACATCACCTGGACTTTGCCCAGCGGAAGAGTTGACTATTATACCATGAATGTCTCAAGTTCAGATGTGAAGTATTCCAATAACACAAATTCAAACACATTTAATCTTATAAATTTATTGCCTGGGAGAGTCTTTCTTATCACAGTAATGGCTGTGGCTGGAACCTACTCCGAAACATCTGATCAGTCTTCATTCGCCACCTGTAAGTTTACAATGTTGGTGTTTCTTGTAACAAATGTTTAAATATTTGTGTTTGGTGTTTAGTTTTTGCATTTTTTTTTGTACTTGTTTCTTCTGGGAGCTAGTTGACTTTTCTGACTATAACGTGTTGGATCTTGAGCTCTTTCTTTTGTTTTGGCAATTTATCTCAGCTACAAAGATGTTATTTGGTTTATTAATTAAGAAAGTATGAATATTGTTAATATTAATATAAATAGCCCCATTTTACAGGAATGTAATCATGGATTTATTGTAGAAAATTGCCTATAATTTTTTTTTACTTCAGCTTGCCAAAATTATTGATCAGTATTTTATAATTAACTCAAAAGCAACGATTGACGTACTTTTTGAATTCAGCGACATTATAGTAGGATTCTGCTTAGTTAAATGAATTGAATTGTCCAGTCTTAAAGCCAGCACCATACCACAATACTTCCACTGCGGTACTCAAAGTGTCAAGTTTCTCATCTGGAGCTAAAAATCTTCATCTGTGAAATCTCCCAGGATAAGTTGAGGGTATTTACCTTTTACACTTGTGCAAAATCTTAAATTATATTTCTAAATTTCTTGTAGATTTGATCAATCTTTGCATGATCACTGTGCTCGCGTACAGCAAATGGTGTATCATCTGCATAGATACTGATTTGAAGATGATTTTTGTTATTTTTACCTCATAGATCCAACTCCCACTGGTTCCATCGTCATTAACAGCAAGACTAACTCCTCCCTCCAGCTGGAATGGACAACCCCACCTAATATGAATGGTGCACCTAACATCAGCTACCATATCACCTACCAGCCTGTACCTTTGATTGGTAGCATACAAACCATAGACTCTACTGGAAATTACACCCAGCTGCCTAACCTCAACTCTGGAATCTTGTACAACATTACAATAATTACTGTTGGACCCCAAAACTTAAACAGCGTGGCTGCTTTTACTTCTTCTTACACCCGTAAGTTTGTCTGAAAACAGAAAAAAAAAAGTTTTAATAGTTTTTTTTAATAAAAATCGTTTTTTATTTGTTTATTTTTAAACAATTTCTTTTTCCTGATCATTTGTTCAGTGCCAAACCTGGTGGAGAGGCTAACAGCCAATTCTTATTCCACAATTTCAATGAATGCAGCCTGGTCAATGCCGCTAGGCTACCAGCCGTATTACCAGTACTTCGCTCAGATCTATAACATGACAGGAGCACTCATCACCCAAGACTTGGTTAACGGTACTAGCTGGGATGTATCCAAGCTGGATCCAGGCTCAAACTACTCTATCAGTGTCAGAACAAGAGCTGCAAATGGAACTGAATCTGCTCCAGTGTCAGTCACCAATTACACAAGTAAGACCTTCAAAGTGACTTCTGTAACAATTATAAATCCTAAATGTTAAATATCATATATCCTACCATTTCATATCTAATATTGCACCCCTAATATTTTATTTTCATTCCAGTGCCCAAAGCAGTGACCAACCTGACAAACAACGTAACTACAACAACGATCCAGCTCTTCTGGACCAGACAAAGTGACTACAAGTCCTCCTACAGCTACCTGGTGGAAATCTTTAGCAGTCAGCCGGTCAGCAATGGTTCCACCCAGAATGAGACGTTTACTTTCTACAATCTGATTCCTGGAACCCAGTACACAATTTATGTGACCACAGTCATAGAAGGGGTCAGATCAACAAAGACAAACCAAACAATTTACACAAGTATGTCCCTTATTGTTTCTGAAAATTTTTGTGGTCTTTCACATTTTTTCTTAGGACTTTAGATGCTTTGTCACTCATCTTCAGGGATTTTGTGTGTGTGTGAGTGTGTGTGTTTAACCATTTAAAGTTTATTAGAATAATTCATAGGTGTGATTTTACTTGACCTGAGTAGATAAACCAGTTCTGGGTCTAAACTTTCCTGCAATGTACCAGTTTCCTTTTCTTTAGCTGAATCTGTCTAAAATACCAAATTTAAAAAAAAATAATTGGTCTTAATGCTTTGCTTTCTCCCTCTATTCTAGTTCCTGCTATTGTTCCTGTTATTACAGTTATAGGAAACACAACCACCCTGTCAGTGAACTGGTCATCGGCTTCTGGGCAGGTTTCGTCCTATGTTGTCTCGCTGTCCTTGGAAAGCAACAAGACAGAGATTGTAAACCAAACACATCAAAGCAATAAGACTCAAGCTCTGTTTGTGGGCTTGAAGCCGGGGGTAGGTTACTGTGTGGGACTGGTCACTAAGAGTGGATCAGTGCAGAGTGACAAAGCAACAGTCTGCAATGCAACCTGTGAGTAACACTTAAACCAGTCATTGTGAGCACATTTTTAAATTTGTGTTTTGAGTATTTTTTCTTTATTCATTTTGCTGTTTAGTTCCCGACCCGCCCGGCTCTGTCACTGTGAACTATAAGACTACCAACTCCATCAACTTCAGCTGGTCCCGTCCAGACACCATGGACCAAAACAGCTTCAACTTCAGTGTCAATGGTACCAATTTGACTGGAAACAGTTGGTTCTTGCTGAATAATCTTCAATCAGGAACTCGCTACACAATCTCTGTGGTTACTGTTGGTGTGAGGGGTTATATGAGCACACCAGTGATGACGACAAGCGACACCAGTGAGTAAAAACAGAAGCTTATTGCCGCATAGTTGGATTTAATTTAGAAATGCTGCATTTTGTTGGTCTATTAAATTATTTAACTACTTATTGTTTGTTGTCTTGTTTTTTATTATTATTGGGTATTTACTGACGTGGTGTTCAGGTTTGACTATAATAATATTTATTGTTATAATTAGAATAAATGTAAAAACATTTCCACATTATATTATATTACCGACGCAAAGAATAAAATCAACATGCATAATTTGGTTCAAATATCTTCATGTTTCAGATAAATATTTAGCTTTTTCTTGCTTTAAGTCATAAGCTTCTTTTGCTTCCTCCTGCTCCTTCTCGAATTTTAAGGATGCTAGCTTTTTATGTGTGCGTGGTGCTGTTGTATAATGTTAGGATTGAGATAAACTACATATGTTTGGAGAATTGTTTAACCCTTAATGAGCAATTTTTCTCACGGTTTTGGCTGACTTCTAATCTCATGTTCTGTTTCAGAACCATATAATGTGACAAATCTAACAGCAACAAAAATCACCACAAACACAGTGATTTTGGATTGGAATGTGCTAGAGGGCAAAACAGGCTACTCTTTTGAAGTTTTGGTCCAAAATGCTGGATCTCCGGTGTCTGTAAGGAACACAACCTCTACTTCCTTCAACGTCACTGGTCTTTCCTCTGGAACCAACTACAGCTTCACCGTGACCACACTGACTGCAGATGGCACTCGAGCAGACCCTGTGACCCAATCCAACTTCACAAGTACGCACATCTTGGCAGAAAGTCAATGACTATATTTATTTCTTTTAAAGAGTAAAACTTTACCTTTCATTTTCAGGACCTAATCCAATCACTCATTTGGGAGCTGAAACTTTAAACAAAACTGCTATCTTCCTCAACTGGACAAAACCAATTGAGTACAAGAGCAACTACACATACAAGGTGAAGACGACCGGGTGTAGCAACCGAAACGATACCTCCTCCCTGGAGAGTGTGGTGATCCCAGGGCTCACACCTGGAACTAACTGCACTTTCTGTGTTTCTGTCATCGCATCAAATGTCGCAGAAGGAGAAGAGCTCTGCACATCTCAGTACACCAGTAAGACTCTTCCCTTTGGATTTTCCTGCTCTAGTTGTTAACCTGCTAAATTTTCCCCATGTTTTACTTAAACAGAACCTGAGTTTGTGCAGCCTAGTGTCTACAATCAGGGCTCGAACAGCTCTGTTCTGGTGTCGTGGACCCTCCCCAATGGAAATGTGGACAACTTTAACATTTCTATAAATAGCACTTTGGCACATTTCTATAAAAGTGTGCAGCTGAATTCTCCCAAGACCTCATTTGTGTTTGACAACCTGGCAGCAGGAGTCCTTTACAGCGTTGTGTTGACCACATGCAGCGGGCCTCTCAGTGAAACATCAGATTTAGTTAATAATGCAACTTGTGAGTATGATAAATGTGTTTGATGTTTCTTTAAGTCTTTACCTCTATCAACTTTCTTCCATCATGCTTTAAATGCAGAGTAAATGTTATTGTGACTCAGGACATAAAAACTTTTTCTAATCGACACCATTGATTAATTTAACTTCAGATCACTACAGCAGTCATCTCAGAAGACTAAATCATGGCCAATCAGCCATTCAATTAAAAACGAACCAAGTGCAACACATTCCAAAACAGGCTCAGATTTAATTAAATATTCTATTCAGATTAGTCATAAAACAGTGCAATAAGATTAAGTAAATTATAAAAGCTAGTAAAACTATAATTTATGTCATGCTGTGCAGGTTCTTTTGCAGGAAAGTTGTTATGCACTAATTCAAATGAATTAATCAAATTTGGAGCAAGTTTAAATAAGAAAACATTTATTTTTTAATTGTAGTAACCTTCAGTGTTGTTGGATAACACTTTTGAAATTATTATTTTGCTTTATTGAAAACTTAAGCTTGCTGACTTGAGTGTAACTCTATCCTTGCAGACCCGAACCCTCCTGGGCCGATTATGATCCTGCAGAAGACAACCAGCTCCATTTCTTTTCACTGGGGAGAAGCTCCTCTAATGAGCGGCGCATCATTCAAATACGTATTGACCTGCGCACAAACCCTGCAAGATGTAAACACCACAATCGTCCCACCTACAGACACAACTCACATTTTCTCCCTACTGCTTTCTGGGACACCCTACAACCTTTCTGTGAAAACACAAGGACCGATGGACTTTCAGAGTATGGCTGTTTACAGCAACTTGGTCACTACAAGTAAGATTTTTTTCTCATTCATTTTTCCACTCAGACGTGTTGCATTTCTGGATTAACAGTTGCGTTTTGTCGTTGTCTTTTAAATCATCAGTGCCAAACAGTGTGCAGAATCTCAGTGCAACACCTGGGGAGAAGAACATCTCAGTTACTTGGTCCAAACCTGCTGGTTACAAGGAATCCTATGGATATATTTTGACTGGGAAAAACTCAACTTATACTACAAATACAACTACATACACCATCAGTAACCTGGATCCTGGTAGCATGTATAACATTAGTGTTACCACGGTGACCTCTGATGGAACACAAGCTGCCTCAAACATCATTTCTCTCTGCACAGGTACAGTCATTCCTTCACTATTTCTACTCATAATATAGAGCTCCGGACCCCACGTGACTCTCAGTTAGTAGACGCCATATTGGCAGGAAAAAAAGGTAAACACGGATCGTAAACATGAACATGAACGGGATCGGCTTGGATTTTACTTCGTCGGAGTTTACTTCGCACTTTAAAACCGAAGAAATCGTTTTATATAGTCAGAAACTAAATAGACTAAACATCTCTGACCCTCACCGTGCCCCTGGGATACTTTTTAAAAATGCCAGAAGCTGTCGGAGCGGACTTCTTACCGGACCTGGCCGGGGAACCCCTTGGGATTTCCCCGGAGGAGCTGACCCAAGTTGCTGGGGAGAGGGAAGTCTGGGCCTCTCGACGCTTCTGCCCCTGTAACCCGACTCCGGATAAGCGGATAAAAATGGATGGATGGATGGATGGATGGATGGATGGATGGACGGACGGACGGACGGACGGACGGACGGACGGACGGACGGACGGACGGACAAATAACAGATTTACACATAAGTAGTTTAAATAGAGTGCTGTGCTGTTTGAATGTATAAACTGAACGCCAAGATAAATCACTAGTTTGATTTTTTTCCGTGAATTAAATAAATATGTCAGGCAGGAGCGTCTCAGGATCTGTCTGAGATCCATCTCGGTGAGACAGATAATAGCAATCCAAAGTGCTTTTTATGTGTGATCTGACAATTGATCAACCATTGCTTAAAAATTAAATGCAGCTTAGCCGGTTAATTGCTGTGATCATAAAACACGTAAACGGCAGCACGCAGAACTCACGAGGCAACGTTTTACGTGACGTTTGCTTGCTGCTATGAGTAATAAGACAGAAAAAGCCACGCCAAAATAAGTTTAGGAAGCCCACTAAGAATCGTAATAAAAGTATTTAAAATAAATACCATACACAGTTGAGGAAACGTGGGTTTAAGTACCTGATATGAAGTGGTCGCTGCAGAAGCGAAAACCTTTACTCTCGGGATCCCACAGCTTCATTTTAACCCGGTCACTAGCGTGTTTTATTACAATGATCCAACGTTTGCGGCGCTCCGGATCTTGGGGAATCCTGTAGATGGCTCATTCCTTATGTCGTCCGCGTCTGTTCTGCATCCTGGGGCACAACAGGAATCTACCATATTTCCCGTTTGAGTTTTCTGACAATAATAAATAGTCCAGCTGCGGGGCTTCTTCCTGCCAATATGGCGCCATGCCGGGAGAAGTGATGTCAACTCCCGGAGATCTATGGGGGGCCCCAAAGGAAAACCTGCTTATGGCCCCACAAATGCTTGGGCCGGCCCTGTACCTTTTGCCCCAAAAGAATAAAAAAGACAAAAGTTAAACCTTTTGTTTTTTTCCCCTTGATGTGGAAAAAAATAATAAATAAAACAAGATTTGGGCAAAAATGTAACTAAATTAGACACAAAAACACTTAACTGAATGTATTTACTGCGCCGTTTCGATTTGAACTGTTGCATGCCGGGAGAAGTGACGTCAACTCCTGGAGCTCTATACCTTTAGGTTTGGCTTTAACTTGTTCTGATATTAAGTATTTTACTTTCTAATTCTAAAGCTGAAAGTGAATTTTATTTAACTCTATAAATGCTAAATCAAACTAAATAAATAGAGATGTTGGTCTGTGGAATTATTTTGTTTATTCTGTTTTAATTCTGCAGATGCAAGCCCCGTGAAAGACTTAGACTGTTATGGACCAAACTTGGGAATTGCAACAATCATTTGCAACTGGACTAAAGTGGAAGGACTGAGCTCTGCTTTTCGGTATACTGTGATGGGAAGTTCGCCGCTCATCCAATCAAGTTCCCTCTGCTGTACGCTCAATATTTCCGACCTTTCTTACAATACTAAGTACAATCTAGCAGTGGAGACTCTGAGCTGTGGGAATCCCAGCCCTACCGTTTTTAAAAGCTGCCAAACTGGCATCACAAGTAAGTTTTAATCTTATTAAAAATTACAATAATATTGAAGTTGAACAAAACTTATTCCAGGATTCCTGCAAAAGTTAAAAAAATGTTTGTATCAAATGTTTTCAGTTTTCCATTGAGTTTGGTGAAGTAATTCATCTTTTTTGACCAATTTTTACTTTTTTAAAGACCCAACCCTTCCATCAAATTGGGAAAGTTTAGTGCCAGTGAAAGGCAAAACAAAGACATCATTCACAGTTCAGGTCGACCCCATTCTGCTAAACGGCACATGGGGACCAGTAACAAATGTTGGAATTTTGGTATCAAGGAACAATTACGGTAAGCTATTTATTTTCTTATTGTTCATGTTCTACTGTTAAAATATTTAGTACTCGGCTTACCAATCCTGAATTGTCTCATTTGAAAATTCTGTTTAATGTGGTACTTTTAGGTGAATAGTGAATGAGACGAGGGCATTTTCTCCTCTCATTAAACCAATTTTATTTTTTGTTTCAGCCCAAGTATCTGCTGACAAAGGTTTTCTGGCAAAAACTTACAAAAACTGGAAAGAAAATTTAGCTGATGGTTACCTGGCAGCAATAATAAATATTAGCAACAGCTCTGCATCGCGCAGCACTCAGGGTCCTGTGAGCATTGATGTTGGAACTGGAACCAGCTGGAAAGACTACTTCAATGGTCCTCTGGATCCTGCTGGATCATACAAGTAAAAACCTACATTTTCATAAGCAGATCTTCATCTGCACAACAACAAAAAAACATATAGCTTGTTTATTAATTTCTTTATATGCATTTATATTTGATTTACCGCAGTTTTCAACATAATTATGTTTAGGAGCTTAGATCAAAGCACTTTGTAAACACACTGAAATGATTCTATTAGTTCTTCATTTTTACTCCTGTTATAAATCATAATAGTCAATAGCATAAACACATGGTTCACTGAAATGAAATAATAATAAAATTTGTTTAAGCTGAGGACTTTTTTTTCATCCTACAGATACGCCATTGCAATCTTCACTCTTTTGGATTTGAACTCAACAACCCAGCTGGTTTCCATCAATTCTATCGTCTCAATAACAAATTTCAACACAGTCACTATAGATTCAGGTAACATGTTTATGAAAGTTTGTCTTTATTTTTTGTATTTAATGCTACTGAATAGGCTTGAAACTTGGAAGTGTTTCTGTCAAAATTTTAAACCAATGTTTCAGATATAATTCCGATTGCTGTTGGAGCTGCAGTTGCAGTGTTTGGAATTTTCCTAGTCCTCCTTTTGGGATTCGCCTACTGGAGAAGGTTATTGGTCACTGTCATTTTTTTCCCGTTTATTTCATTCAAAATAAAAACAAATAAAACATATAAACAATAAGAAAAAGATAACAAAAAATCAAATTTGAACGAAAAGGAGCAGAATGAAGAAAACATCTTATAATTTCTGCCCCCTTTTCCAGTAGAAATAATCAATTTATGTATAATTATCATTTGTCAGACACACACATGCAGATTCATTTGAAACTTTTTCCTGTTCTAAATTCCAGTGCGATCATGATAATTGATTTAATGTACATTTTCATAATTATTTAGTACACTCAATTTGGTACATTTTTTGAATATATTAAATGACAGAGTTTTTTTTATTTCCCTTTTAAGGTTATTCCATAATTTGACACCATTTACAAATATGTTCCACTCCTTAATTTTAGTTCTAAATCTAGGTTTTGTAAACACATCAGTTTCTTTCAGCATGTAATTACTAGTTCTCTTTTCAAATATCCCCTGCATGTTTGTTGGCAGAGTACCTAAATTGGCTTTATACATGGTTTGTAAGATTTTCCAGTCTTTTAAATCATGAAATTTCAGTAATTTATATTTAATAAACAATGGGTTCGATGGATCTCTACAGCCACTATAATTGATGATTCTCAGAGCTCTTTTCTGTAAAATAAGGGCTGTGTTTAGTTTTTGTATGTTGCTCCCCAGATTTCTACACAATGAGTCAAGTTTGGAACAATCAGTGAAATGTACAATGCCAACAAACCAGAATTAGTCAGTAAAAACTTGACTCTATGTAATACTCATAAGGATTTGGCAATTTTACCTTTTATGTAACTAATATGGGATTTCCGTGACACGTCTTCATCAATAAGATGAATGTATTCGTTTGAGTAGTCACTGTAAACTCACTGTTCTCATTCATCATTACAGGTCATCCAAAAAGAAGGAGCCAGACATACCCATTCAACAATTGGGGTGAGATTTTTATTTTATTTTACTATTATTATTTTGAAATCAGAGTTCAAGCTAAATAGATTTTATTTTTACTTCTGATTTCTTTTTTATTTTTCTACTCCAGATCCAAAGTGTAAGTATAAGGTCTTTAGATCATGGGTTTTATCAAATATTTGCTGTTTTCCCATTAAAAAAAGACAATAACTCATCGTCGTCTAAACTCTGTTGTGTATTTGAGCAGAAGCAGAGCTGTGAGGGTGGAGGAATTTGAAGCGTACTACAGGAAGCAGAAAGCAGACTCCAACTGTGGCTTTGCTGAAGAATTTGAGGTAAAACAAACAAATGTGAATAGTCAAATGCAGTATTTTCCAATTAAGTAATCCTAAATGTGTATTTGTGTGTTTAATACATTTTGTACTCCTCTGCTTCAGACATGTCAGAAATTTTAATCGCGACTTTTTTCCTCTCAAAAGGAGCTGAAACCCGTCGGCACAAGTCAGGCAAAGATTCACGCTCTGGCTTTGGAGAACAAGCCTAAAAACCGCTACAACAACGTGCTTCCTTGTAAGTCACTTCTATTCCTCCTTAACCCTCTGGGGTCCATTCGTGTCTTTTGAACAGATCTGATTTGGGACACTGTAGCAACAAGACTCCGCCTCCCTGAGTTTCGGTTTCAATTCAGCTTTAAAAATACACCCCAGTTTTTACATTTTGTAAATAGGCAAAGTAAAAGCGGAGTTATACTAAACTAAAAAACGACCTATTTTTAGACAATCTGATAACTTGTCAAAACATCAGTTTAGTAATCCGTGAGAGGGAATGTGCTGTTGTGAACATTAAAAAAAAACCACAAAAACATGAGATCCTTTTGCTGTTGGTGGAAGTCTCACATATTCAATAGATCAAAAGTATCATTATGTAGCTGAGAGAGAGAGGAAGGCCGCATGAGTAACGAGATGTGCGCAAAAAGGAGCCGCTTCGCGGGGAAAGGGGTGGTGCGAACGGAGTAACAACAAACAATTAGACAGATATTGACGGTAAACTTCATATTTTGGAGCGATCCGGACAGATATATTGTCTCTGCAGTTTAGTAGGCTTTTATTGGGCTTATATAAAGGATGATGAGAAGGATAAATGTCCACCAGGCAGTTCAGATAGTACGGCTGTTTTCTGAACTGGAAGCAGAGGAAGTGGACGGAGACTCACAGCCGGAGTCTGAGGCAAATAGCGAGGATGTTGATGACGATGTGGCAGATCCATCCTTCCTCATAAAAGAGGTGGGTCATGATGACGTAGAGGATGAAGGCAGAGATCCAGCTCCTCGGAGATCCAACAAGAGGAGTGGGCGGCGCCGCGCAGCTGTCAGATCTCGATCTCCGCGGCGTGAGACAGAGCCACTCCCCACTCCAAAATGCATGTACATTATTGCCAAATTAATAAAATAAGTATAAATTCAGATAGTCCAGGTTGTCCTGAAAAAAATGATACCCCATAAGGCAATATTTATTGTTTTTATTAGAAAATACAAAAGAAAAACCAAAATGAGTCAAAAACAGTGATTTACACCCTGGACCCCAGAAGGCTAATAATTTTTTTTTCATTTGTTATTTGCTACATTTATTCATATTTTTATATATGTACAGTCTAGATTACCATTCTCAATTATAAAAAAAAACATTCATCATAAATGTTTGTTAGTTTCACAGTAAAATAAACAACTTTTTTCCAATTCGGATTTTATGTTTTTGAGTGATTTACAGTCTAATATGCAACCCCTTTATGTCCAAATATAAAAAATAAGTATGAATTCATAAAGTCCAGGTTGTGCTGAAATGATTGATACCACATAAGGCAGTGGTTATGGTTTTTATTTTGGAAATACAAAGCAAAACTCTAAATTAGTCAAAAACGGCAAATTACACCCTGGACCCCAGAGAGTTAATTGTTTTTCGCAATAAGACAACCCTTTTTTTTTTTTTACCGGGAAGTGTATCCAGACTCTAGAAAGGCCTTACAACTAAATTATCACATTCCACAGAACACATAAAAAAACAAATGGGGAAAAGAAATCAATGTTGTCATTGCAAAAGAAGACTGGGAGAGTTATTGCAGCCGTTTATGGAAATGCACCAATTCGCTTCCGCAGAGAGAATTTTCATGGAAAAGTATAATTAGATATTTTATTACTCCAAAACAAAAATCATCCTTTGGAACAGAAATGTTGGAGGCAATGTGGGAGTCAGAATGCCAATCATTACCATATTTTTGGTCACTCATTCAACAATACCGTTCAATTTTGAGTCTCTATTTCTTGAAAAAGTGAGTTCCTCTTCAAAGCTCTTCAGTAATTACCTATTTAACATCGTATTACAGCAGGGGAAAAGACTATAACTAGACACTGGTTGCACCCTGACTCTCCTACAACTTAAGAATAGGAAAGCATAGAGAATGGCATCTACATAATCAATCAATAAATCAATCAGATTTTTTTTATAAAGCGGTTTTCAAGCAAAGTGCGACTCTTAAGTGCTTTACAGAATTACAATGACCCCAAATTCCCATAACAGTTTGAAACCATTAACAGGCATATGCACACACACACACACACACACACACACACACACACACACACACACACACACACACATACACACACACACACACACACATCAGTAAAATTGTATATCCGGCTGAGTCCAGATGAGCCAATTAAGGTAAGGCAAGGAAACGCCATCAGAGGAGCCGTCTGCCCCGGCAGCATCAGGACGCTCAGAGGAGGGGGAGCATGGACCCCCACCTCCACTTACTGTAAAAGGAAAAAGTGGAAAACGAAGAAAATGGTACAACTAAAAGAAATTGTTCCATGTAAGCCATGTATAGAAAATCTACATTTCATTGTGAAAGTCTCCTCTTTGATTGCATGATATGTGAACATGACAAAAATAACATCAATGTACCTTTCATAAATAAACAATTAGCAAAAACAAAGACAACCCCTGTTTTTAGCCATCAGCAGATTTTTTTATAGTTACATTTTTTGTCATCTAACACAATATGGGAGGAAAATGACCATATATTAATTATATTGATTTAATTCACACTCTTCTTCCCCTTCTAGATGATTCTTCAAGGGTGAAACTCTCGATTGTCCATGGAAATCCGAATGGCGATTACATTAATGCTGACTACATGCCGGTGTGTGCTCCATTTACAACTGCTCTCATCTTCTCACACGTGTACTTCACAGAAAATTATTATTCTTTAGAGAATTGTTTTGAAAAACAAGCTTAATTAATATTTTCATGTTTTTCTTTTGTTTCCCATCAGGGTTACCTCTCCAGGAAAGAGTTTATTGCCGCTCAGGGTCCTTTGCCTGTTACTGTCAGTGATTTCTGGAGGATGATCTGGGAAAAGAACGTGTACACTTCAGTCATGCTGACACGCTGTAATGAGCAGGGGAGAGTGAGTAGAGACAATAACTGGCTCAAGTAATGTTACTGAATAAATGTTACACAACGTTTGGTGTATTCAGTGTAAATTATGTACAGTTAGTTATTGAAGTAAAAATACCAGAATTCAGAATGTCATTTACGTTATTTTCATTTTCTAAATAAAGGTTTTTCAATGGTTATCTTCTCTTCCCAGGTTAAATGTGAGCAGTACTGGGGTCCAGGCACTATGCACTATAAAGACATAACTGTGACAATAACCACTGAAATCCCCCTGGAAGACTGGACCATCAGGGAGTTCAGCGTGAAAAATGCAAGTTATTTGTGAAAAACGGAGATTAAAACAGTTGGGTACCTCGGTTGTTACCGCTGCTTTAATGTTGTCCTTGTCCTCCAGGTTAAAACGACAGAGGTTCGTTTAGTTCGTCACTTCCACTTCACCGCCTGGCCGGATCATGGCGTTCCAGAAACCACAGAGCTCCTCATCAGCTTCAGACATTTGGTCAGAGAGCACATGAACCAGTACACGGACAGCCCCACCGTGGTCCACTGCAGGTTGGAAAAAAATGCAAACAAATGCAGTCTTTTAATTTTGTGGTACAATTAACACTGAAGAAATAATAACTGTGGGATCTTTTCTCCACTCAGTGCTGGTGTGGGGCGCACAGGCACTTTTATAGCCATCGATCGTCTGATCTACCAGATCGAAAGGGACAATATTGTAGACGTCTATGGCATTGTTCACGACCTGCGAATGCACCGGCCCCTCATGGTGCAGACAGAGGTAGGACAATATCGCATGCATTGTTATTTCTTTCTGTACTTAAAGGTAATATAACACATCTTTTTTCCTGTAGGACCAGTATGTATTCCTAAACCAGTGTGCCTTGGACATCATCCGTTCAAGAACAGGGACCAATGTAGATCTAATCTACCAAAACACAGAGGCAATCTCAATTTATGAAAATGTAGAACCAAAGAAAGCGTATCCCAAAAGAAAACAATAACTTCATGGTGTTGTTTAGTTTTTTTTTATCCGTATTGTTTTTCTTTGCAATCAAGGGCCGAGCACATACGTGTAAAATACTTTTCTGCTGTATTGATTTTGTATCAGTGACAAACTTTGGGTCTTAACCTCAGTTTATGTTGTATTTATTTTTTTAAAATGTTGAATATTTGAACATGGATGATGCAATACTGGAAATAATCATCAATCTAAAAAAATGTAATTATTTGTACAATTCTGCCTTAGATCTTTTTCTTATTCATGCATACTTTTGCACTGCACAACTATTTTACAAATGTGACCTACTGTAAACGACTCACTGATGATTCAGTTCTGCTCAGGTACATTTTTATGTATTTTTGTATTTTTACAATCTCTTTTTATATAGTAAGATCTGGAATAGACTTGTAAATAGTAAATGTTGAGATATATTTTACAAACTAAATGCTTTACCACCAACAGGGAGCAGTGTTTTATTGTTTTTTAAATACTTTTTCTAAATAGGAACCATATATTATTTTTAATAAACCTTCAATTATTTCCATGTTTTTGCTCGACTAACAGCAACTCGATACAAACTGTGCAATTAATGATGGATTATATTTGTATGAGTCTTTCTTTTTATGCACTGCAATGTAAAAAATGCACTGGATGCATGTGTCCTTGACACTGTACACTTAAAAAATAGAGTGGTGTTTGTTTCATTTATGCCAGTGCTGCATTAAGTGGAATATTTTACCTGTCATTCCTCACTTAATTATTACAGCTCAGGAACTCCTTAAGAACATTTTACTGATAATTAAGGCGTAAAACCAGCATGTGCACTCAAGTGTACTGTCTAGAAATTGGAGTATGTTGATTTTCTTTTTATTCTGTGCATTCCCAAGAGTAACTGTAATGCCTTGTCACTTCCTGCTACATATCTGATCCAGCTATTGGGTCATTTCCTGTTAAAACCACCAGAGATGCACAACCCTTATTTTTATCTCAAGAATTTTCCATGAGGCAGGTACGTTTTTACAGAATCGTGTGGCCTTTCTTTGTCAAGTTTTAACTTGCAGTATCATTGTGTACTCAAAGCAATTAGATGCACTTGTGTTTTTAATAAATAACATAAATTAATATTTTTAATATGCTTGATGAAATGCTTGCTGGTTCAATGCAGCTATATAAAAGGAGCTTGAATTTAAATTATGTATATTTTTCTAACTGTCAAATGAAAAGAGTTTGAAGATGTACGCTGTGGTATTGGTCTACTTTTCATGAAAGCCCACCAGCTTCATTGTGATTAAAGCATTTACCAAAAATCTTGTTGCTATTTATTTTTCACTTCTAAGATAAGAACTTGGGTTTATTAAGATAAGATTAGATGAGTTACTTCAATGTCTATAAAACAAAGTAATGTAAATAAAATGCCATGTTGCTTGGGGAACTGAGCTGTTGCTCATTGTGGTTGTTTTTGATACTATGAAAGGGTATTTTCTTGTAGAAGATCAAGCAGCTTCTGGGAAAGATGAGGGAAAATCTTCACAATATGGGCTACACTAAGGGCTTTATATATATATTTTTTTTTTTGCATTTCTCCTTAACCCTCTGGAGGCAGGCGTTGCAGATTTGCAACAGTTAAAACCTACCTACCTGGTTACTCCACGTACGTATTTCATGAGCATTTTTTAACTCAAAAGTACTCCTGAAGGACTTAGTTGTTCGTCCTTTTATCAAAACTTATTTTGAGCCTCACAGGGTTAACATTGACTGTAAGGGGAGGAGGCCACAGATGGCTTTTTTCAACCATTTTCATCACATATTGCAGTCTTCCTGTCCTTTATATTGCATTTCCCATTTCAGGAAGTGATGCAGAAAGTCAGGATGCACTGATGAAAAGTAAGGAGATAGATAGGGTGAGTTATTTCCCAGGAAGGTGCTCCTGAGCTGTCTTGGCTGGGTATGCTTAAATTGTAGGGTGGAGGATTTTCCTTTTTCAGAAGTCCTGGTCATTTGATGCTGATGTGTTTTGTTATTATTGCTCACAGTTGTCTCATCAACAGATTTAATGAGCTGGTTTGTGTAGAATTAAGTAGTGCAGTTATGAGTCTGCAGATACAGGAACAAAGGCCCAAGCACACCTCCTTGAGGTGCTAATTAACTTTAAAACAGTCAAATTCCAAACATTTTCTTGTTTGTTTGAGTCGCACAAAAATGTCACAAAACAGCAATGATCACTCAAATGTGTTCAGTATTGAGTTGGTTTCACACAGCCTAGTGACCTCACGTTGGTAATATAAGATACTAACAGAATGTTGGCTTCAGTAAGCCCCTCATATTTCCCTTTCACTCCTCCACATCATTCAAGATTTATGCTGCTCACAACACATTAAAATAGATTTGACTTTATTCTACTACTTCATGTTGAAAAACCTACACCAAGCATTACTTAACACTTCATAGATCAGCCAATAAAATTATGAGTTATTTTAAATCCCTCACATCTAAACAAAAATACATATGGTTACCATGTGTTTATTCAGCAATCAAAAATAGTGAAGAAGTATGCAATATTAGAAGAAGCAATATTTGTATGTATAGCACCACTTTAGATAAAATCACAATGATATAGCAAACATTCACAAAAACATCTCTGATGTGTGTGTGTGTTTGTGTGTGTGTGTGTGTGTGTGTGTGTGTGTGTGTGTGTGTGTGTGTGTGTGTGTGTGTGTGTGTTTCATTCAGTGGGGAATGCAAATGCTTCAACTTTGCATCTTTTCCATGCACTATTGACAGACGAGATTACCATGACCTGGATGACTGAGAACCTTCACCAGCACTAATGACAGACATTTTCAGATTTTACAGTGTGCCTAGTAGTAGTATAGTAGTATGGCTTCCATTGATTAACTGTGCCTATATTTGAATTATGGTCGCAAAAGTGCAAAATATTTCATAAATATGTTACATTAAAATGTGGAAATAATTCCATAGATGGATCATGTATGAGAAAGACTGTTGATGTAGTACACAACTTTGACCGCAGGTGTCGCCAGAGCCCCAGCAGCGCGGCAACAGCAGAGGAACCGCAGCAGCAGGCAGGCAGGGCAGGGAGGCGGAGGACCCAGTCAGTCCAGTCCGCGCTCTCCATATTGAAACAGAGCGACTTCTCTTCCAGCAGACCCCAACCAACCCATCTGTCTCCCACAGCTCCCTGCTATGTCACTGGACTAGGGAGGAATCAGTGAAACTGTGTCAGCGCGGTCCTGATTCACAAAAACGGTAAGTTGTGCCGTTTCCTCACAACACCACGACAACAAAACGAGGCGGATAACTTTCTATTTTTAGTTACTCGTTTTTTTAATTCAACTCACATATGTGTGTTTTATGTGCTAACTTACGCTAGCTATGCTCCCTTTTACCTGAGAACGGGGGTTATTTTGAGGGTATTTTGGCATCCTATTTTTGCTTATATTTGACGGAATTTGGCGTGTCTTGGTTCTATTGTCACCCGAGTGTGTTGGGTTGTATGTTTAACTGCTAACGTTACTAGCTCGCCTCGCGCTACCCAAAGTTAACCCTCACCTCCAGCCTATGAGGCTACGGGCCTTTTGCAGCAGCCAGCCCACGGAGGCTTTTATGAAACCAGGAGAAACGCTTGTGGTTTCCAGGGTTTACGTTCCTCTGACGATCAGCTGCGTGTGTAAAACAAAAATAACCGAAAATCGTAAACATGAGCAAGATCAAGCGGATAATGCTCCACAGTGGGAGTGCAACAGCATGTGTGTAGCACAGCATTCATTTACGGAATAATCGATATTTTATTTCCAAATAACCTTCACCATCTGTGAAGGCTAACGTTTTGCTTTCAGTTTAATTATGATAAGAACTGTTAGATAGATAAACCGACACAGATCACCACACATGTAAACAGGCTCACGTGTATCTTCAGTCATCTGATTATTTTTGGGGATGTTTTATATATAGGTAAATTACCTGCATTTATGTTCTACGTACTGGTGGTTAAATTTTTTCAGTTTCTATGCTTCTGGTGGCACAGCTCTTTAATTTGAACATTGTATAATGTTGAAGCTTATCTGTTGATTAGACAGATGTACAATTGCTGAACACAAGTGGCAAAATCCAGTGTGCTTTGGTGCCACACATCGACATATATATATATATATATATATATATATGGCACCACATATTAGTGCTTCTGAGGTCCACACACGTTAGTGTGGTTTTTAGGGACACCTGTTCAATTGCTTGTGAACACAAATGACCTATTAGCCGATGACCGGACAGAAACATCTGGGCCTGGTGAAGGCGTATTGCTGAATTTCAAACTGGGCACCAGAATGGAGAAAAGAAAAAGAGGACTGAAGTGACTTTAAATGTGGAATTATTGGATCAGGATGTTGGCGAGGCAACAGCGGCTCAAATAAGCACTCCTGTCAGCTAAGAGCAGGAAACTTCGGTTCACAGAGTAATACCAGATTAGGACAATAAGAGATTGGGTAAATGCTGCTTGGTCTCATGAGTTTAGCTGCAACATTCAGGGTCTAAACATGAAAGCATGGATTCTTCTAGCATTTTGACTCAATGGTTTAGGCTTCCACTGGTGGTGAAATGGTGTGGGGGAGGTTTGCTCAGCCCACTTTGGACCCCTTATTACCACCTGAGCCTGGTTTAAATGCCACAGCCTGCCTGAGTATTGTGGCTACTTTCAGCAGGATAATGTGCCATGTCACAAAGCTCAAACCATCTCAAAATGGTTTCTTGATCATGACGATGAGTTCACTGAACTCCCAACAGACTCCCTAGTCACCAGATCCCAATCCAATACGCAATCTTTGGGATTTGGAGAAGCAGGAGAACCTCATCATGGATGAGCAGCCAACAAATCTGCATCAACTGCATGATTTCCATATGGACCTAAATGGCTATGGAATTTTTCCAACATGGTGTTGAATCTATGACATGAAGAATGAAGGTTGTTCTGAAGACAGAAGTGGCCCAACCCTGTACTTATAAAATTGCACCTATTAAAATGACCAATGGATGTATCTAAGCTATTGTGTAATAGTGCAAAATAAAACCCTTGATAGAGAAGTACTGTCTAGTTCTAAAAACTAGCAAACATAGTAACAGAAACCCGTGTACTAGCTCATGCAGCAAATATCTTCGTTACACAAAACAAAAACATCTCATAGCCTTGAGTAACACGTTACCCTCATTTCTCCAGATCTACTGTTGGTGTTTGTGTGTAGAGAGGCATGCTGACCTACATCTGCTCTCAGCGTCAACAGACAAAAGGACATAGTCACCAGCATCAGGTTTTCAGCCTGAGCTCTGTAACAGAAACAAAGTAAGCTGCAAATTAATGAGTTCAAATTGCTGCTACTGTCTAAAAATACTCATTCATTGAGGTTACTTAGTACTTTTTCTTTGTATTTTATAATAATTATGATGTAAATTGTGCTAGTCCTTGTCTGAGGCCAATAAATAGAAAAAAAATTGCAAAAACGATTCAATGCCACTTTGCAGCATTTCCAGGGCTCATCATCTTTAAAGTGTCTTGTATTCTGTAGAATAAGGCTTTCATAGAGATGAGAACAGCACTGACGTACACTTTAGCTAATAGTTACAATAGTTTCTGAATGTTGTCGCTTAAATTACGTGAAAGGAAAGGCCCTAGAGAGGGCAAGTGCATGAGGAAGTGATTACCAGATTGCCTGAAACGGGTGTTAGATAATACCTGTGAAATTTCAGTGAAGTGAGAAAAGACATTTAAGCAGCTTTTGTTCGTTGTTCCCTTCCTGTCAAGCTCTGCAGTCTGCATATTATTTTATTCTCATTTAAATCCAGGCTTTATAACATCAGTCAGAAATGTCAGTTCACTCCAGTCTTTTATATTGATAAAGTGCTGAAGGTCAGACTGGATATGTTATCAAGAACAGAAAGGGCACTTGGAGGTCAGATACTATTAGAACTAGGTCGTTAAATCATTAACAACATATACTATTTGCTTATACGAATCATCTCGCAATGTAATCTTTATAATAAATGTTCAGATCTATTGCCAATGCTGAATCAGTAAACATCTATTCGGTTTTACAACTGGGCTTAAACAGAGGTGTTTTATTTTCCTGCACTGATTTGTAAACACCTGATGTCTGATTAAAGCGTGTGACAGTCTGCCTGCTCTAATCAGGTGGGGATATATAATGGTGTTGGGCCCTAAGCCTATCAAGTTGAACTGCAGCTTTGCTCTGAATTACAAACAGGGAGAGACTGGTGGTAAATGAAGGAAAGACCTAGAAACTTATTTCATCTATAATTTTTTTTAATTTAATTTACAATAATCCAAAAAATATATAACCATTGATTCTTAAAATATATGGATTTTGTAAAATAAAACACCTAGAAATGATTTATTCAAACATGATTGCTCTCGACTGTATAGACATTCTACTTCCATCTTTATACTTGTTTATTTATTTATTTATTTATTTTTACTTTTCCTCTGTGAATGAAAATCTTTTCCAACATCTAGTTGGGAAATCTTGGCCAAAACTCTTTCATACAGAATCTGCCTTCAAATAATGAATGCACTTTTAGCAGCCAGAGCTGTGCCAAGATGCCCCTCCCCTGCAGATCTTTTTTATTTAGTGACTTTAGAGCTGCAGTGTTGCCTTTACGGCTCTAACCAGGTTTCCCTTTCACAAAATATCTCCTTTGTTACAGAGAAAATCCATCTCAGTGTTTTTTTCCCAAGTGGTATTGAAGCTAAATAATTAGGAAAAATGACAAACCTGATCACACTTTTTTCTCATGACAAAAATAAAACTAATTTAAATGCTGCTTGTGTCTGTTTTCTGGTGGACTCAGCACAAAGACGAGATAGCATAAATGCACTAGTTGTTTCCCATCACCGACATTTGATTTAAAGTACCGTAATTTTCTCGGCTTGCACTGAGATTTTGTCTCTTGTACACCTCGTGTTGAACACTGGTTGTCTGCAGCTTTTCAGAGATGAGCTGCAGCATCTGCGCTGAGTTCATAACTGGGCAGTTGTATTTTATTTTGTACAAGCTTTAACACAGTGTTTTATTCTGAATAAAATCTGCCAGGACTCTTGCACCAGCCCTGTTTGCAGGGTCATCGTCATGGGCTGTGCAGAGTCAGATTAGCTATTTTTTGTCGGGATCTGGCTGGGGATGTTTTCAGATCATGAAACGACTTTAGCTACAGACAAATTAGCTAATGCTCGCTAGTGTAAAGCCACGGCTTTGTTTTTTGATGAAATGTTTTTGTTTCAAGACTGATGCTTGTGGCTGTACTCTCTCTGCAGAGCTGATGAAGTAGTCAGGTGGGTGAGAAGAGTGACACTGTTACGTTACTCTGAATGGAAACTTGTGACTCCAAGCTGTTGCCATTCATGTCAAGTAAATCCAAGACAGTAAAGCATCAGTCTAACCTTTAAAGAGAGACATTGGGTTTCAGAAGCTGGCTGGTTTCTGAGTTGAGGAAATATCATCTGACTTTATTCTTAGTTTGATACCCCTTACAAAGTCAGTTTCTTCTGCAACTTCTCTCATCATGTGTCCCTAATTACTGGCGTTAATTTGGATTATAAGAATGTCAAATAAAGATGCATTCTTGGTCTCTTAATTAAGAAATCAATGATGTGTGACATCTTCCTGATATCCCAGTATGGTCCAGATCGCAGCACGGTCCGTCTGTCTGTGGTTGATTTTTTGCTTTAGTATGTGTGAAGTAGGGACAAATTATTTTTGACTTGGGTATTCTCTTTATGAACTGTACATTAATGAAGAATTTGTAAAGAAGAATTAGATTGCTGGAAATTATGATTAAAATGAAGGCATTTATAGGATAGGTTATTTCAGTATATGTTATTGATCTGAAGTTAAACAAATCCAGTCGTTTTTGCTTGCATTGTAAAAGTTAAAAATTATTTAATGATCGGATATTTCCAAAACAGTTTCATGAAAACGTCTTGATTGTTGTGACCTTCATGAATAATTAATTTAATACTGAGATGTAGGTCATTTATTAGTTTTTCTGGATAGAATGATTTCAGATTACAGAGTATGTGTTGGCACCAGAGCAAAAATAACCTACCTTATGGCAAGAGGGCATGAGCAATAATTAGTGTATGAGGTCTTTGCAAGGTCACTCTAGTGTTAAATGCAGGATCACGGTGTAATCTGCTGATGTTGTGTTGATTGTCTCGCTTTATTTTCTGTCTGGAAAAATTGAGGTTCAGGGTGGATCATTCAGACACAAAATAATTTAACATCAGCTTGTTCTCTAGACAAACGCTTCATATTTGTTTGTTTACATTTGTATCGCTTCACATCAAAATCACATAACACACTGTTGACAAAGGTTGACGAGTATGGATGCTAAGAGTCAGATAACCATCTGATTTGTCACTGGTGATACATGTTAGCCATAGATATTAGCTCAGACCTCCAAGGCACTTGTCACTTTCCCTTGAACTCAGAGTGAGGTCTCCAGAGGCTAACTGGTCTCTCCTGTTGTTTACCTTAGTCAACGCAGCAAGCCTTTGCCTGTGGCTGTGAAGCAAACTCCCCAAGGTCAAACCCTCCTACCATTGCTTGTTGTCCACCAGGCAACAGCATTCCCAACAGCCTGCTCCTGTGAGAGCAGATTCACACTGTTTAATCAACCATCCTTAATCCTCCCTGCTCTTCAAGAAACTCAAAACATAGAATTGGAGACCTTCCTTCATGATTAGCAGATCTTCACTGTTGATCTAAATGCTAGTTTTTATTCCTGTATTTATTTCTCTATTTCCCATTTTTTGTTTTTCTTTTTTTCCAATTTATTTTCTTCCTGTAAGTCTTCAGTTTGCCCAAATGTGTTTAGTTTTCTAATTTCCTTTTTAAATTCCTGTATGTATTCTAGTTTAATTGTACAAATAATGGAGGTTGTTGCAGATTCTCATTTCCTGGTTCCTGTTATGTCTTTCTTACAAAATGTTTTTTTAATGAAAAACACTGTTGCAGCTTGTGTTCTTGTGACTAACCAATTAGATGTTTTTAATGTTTATTAATTGCTTTAGCAATTGCCCACATCACTTGCAGTTAGTGTTGTGTCTACTCTGCTATATCAAGCTTTCTTTCCATGACACACTGAAGGACAGCCTCATTCTTTTGCATAATTAAGTTGTCTTGCAGACAGAAAAGTATTGTTAAAGGAATGCACAATAATACAATAAGGTAGCACCCGACTTATTCTTGAAGTGTGCGTAAATTAAATAAATGCAAATGTAAATAAAAAAGGCACCAAAAATTTATTGAACATATACTTTCAATTGAGAAAAACTATAGTTTTTATTTTTGAATATGCCTTTTTAAATATTCTGTACAGAAAGACCTAAACAAGGTATCTTGGTTATTAGAAAATACCGTAAATCCTCTAATACAGGCCCGGGCCTCTATTTGACTCAAGCTCATCAAGCTCCAGGCCTTTATTGGAAGGAGGGCCAGTATTAGAGGCAGGCCTCTATTTTCATTTGAGCAAAATGAACTAATGTTCATTGGAGTTTTTGGCAATTAAAGTTGCGCCCACATTTTCAAAGTTAAACACATTTCTTTTAACAACGGTAGTTTCTGCTTCAGCCATCTCCCCCCCTCCCCCTGCTTCAGCCCTCTACCCCCTCCCCCTGCGCAGCGGCCGCAAACTCACTGATGCGCCTGCAGCCTCTCGGAGTTCCTGCTGCTCTAAACATTAAAATAATTATTTCATTTTCTGTTCCTCACTTCTGATTACCTTCAATGGTGTCTGTTTGTTGCAACCAGCAGGTACAAAAACTAACTTGTTTTTATTTGACAATTTTTCTGTCCTGCCTGTTTATTATCTTCCTGCATCTCCTCTCAGTCCTAAAGAAAAACTGCTACCTGGGTTCATATATATTCACCTCATGAGTTACCTTTGAACTGCAGTTCTAAAAGATCTACCGACCTCTAAAACAGCGGAGTGCTCGCTGTTTGGCGGCCGTATCAGTGATCAGTGCGTCGGAGGACAAGGTGATGCGCGCAGCGCCCCGCTCCACAGCATGCAGCGAAACGCATCAGGCGCAAATAAAAGACAGAAAACATTAAAGGAAATGAACTGACATGAACGATCGCGTGTTAAATTAGTTTTTGAGGTGGCGACACCTGATTGTTACTGTGACCGTGCTCAGGAGGCAGATCTACCGACCGCGAAAACAGCGGAGCGCTCCCTGCTTGCCGGCCGCATCAGTGATCTGTGCGTCGGAGGACAAGTTGATGCGCCCCGCTCCACAGCAGCGATACACATCAGGCGCAAATAAAAGACAGAAAACATTAAAGGAAATGAACCGACATGAACGATCGCGTGTCAGTACCTACGGTCTGGCACAGTGCGTTGCCCCCCCCACCCCCTGAGCGCAGGAGCTTGTCACCTGCTGACAGCAGACTGCTGTCTTTTCCGAGGGCTGCATCTTGCCGGTCATTATCACGTGACAGCGACTAGTCGACGACAGGCATAAAAAGTCACTATAGTGAAGTTGACTAGTTCATACAACCCCTACTGCTGCTCCCCAGAGTGTTCTGCAGCATAATCAGCACGTTCTCTTTGAACTTGATAGTGTAATGACCTGGCTGGGGTTGTAAGCCAGGTGCATTCTGGGTATTGTGTTATATGTGTTTCCTATCGTTCTGCTAGTTCCTATGTGCTGATTTGCGTGTTGTGTGAGTGTTATGTAAGCCACAGGGAAGGTGATGTGTGTTCTGTGGAGCGGGTTGAATTAGCATGGTTAACTGACACCGTGACTCTGTGTGGTAGGAGCGTGATAGAGGATCGTGTCTGTAGCGTTACAAAGCGTTGAAGAAAAAGCCCAATAAAGGTCTGCGTGAACCTCTACTGCCTCCTGCTGGTTGATTTGGGGAGTATAACCCTGCCGCTGGGACGCTCATACTTGCTTGTTACCACATTCCACCCGGCCACAATAAGAGACCGGCCATTATTTACCTCAACTGACTCTGACACCGGCCACAATTGGAGACCCGGCCTTTAATTGAATACCGGCCTGTATTAGAGGATTTACGGTAATAAATAAATGGATTTCAGAATGCATGAAAGTATTTCATGTAATCTGTTTCACACGTTTAAATAAAAGGATTAGAAATTCCTACAATAATACAGTGTGTGCTTATCTTTGGCTGTCGCTAATAGACTTGGGCACTCATGGCAAGTGAATCCCACTGTCAGGAAATTTATCACGGGAAAAGTACACAAACAAACAAATGAATATTTACTGTTATTTTGCCTCAATCTTAATTCATTAATTATCACGCCAGGCACCTACATCCAGCTTTTAGGTTTTCTTCACACTTCCTGTTGTTTCTTTTGATTGAAGAGGAGACGAGAGTATAATTCAGTGGACGGGATCTGGCTTGGACCGTCTCCTGTGAACCAGCTTTGGCTCTCTGCTGTGAGAGCTGGCGAGCTGACAGTGCTTTTATCCAAATGTTACTTACTTGTTTGCTTGTGAAGGAACCTTTTGAGTGCTGGTTATACAATATGCATGTGACACAATGTCTCAGCAGTCCATTACTGTATGGGTTTTAATTTATAAAGCTAGCGTGGCTGACTGTGTTTGCCCTGAATTAGGCTAGACCCAGTTATGTACTGTGAAAAGAAAGTAAAAGTACATAGGTAATCTCACAGCATCATTTCAGTGGCAGGAAGTTTAGTTCATGCAGGAAATTTGTCCCAAGAAGAAACTTAAGCATCTCATTTGGTCTGAGGGAGAAAATATGGGACAGCTAGAGTTTAGTGTTGGTGGAGCTCTGGCAGCCTTTCATTTAAATCCTGCCACTTTCTGGGTCACAGTTTCTCCACTTGTAGTTTTTGCTCCTCATGAAAGCAAACTTTATAATTTTGTTCAGTAATTATTTTTATTGCTGTTCCAGATTAAGATATGTCATTATGTATTTTTATTATTTACATTATGTTTTGGCTGTTTCTCACATGCACTTCCTGCCCTCTGTTTCTTTTATCCCACACTCATGTTCAGCTTCTCTTTCAGGTGTAACGTCCAGCAATGGTCAGTTTTTAGGTACAGTTTGACCACTTCTTATTTAGGTTAGACATGATCCAGTCTTATTGTCTCCTCTTTTTTTCTTCTAGATAGGATGTGAGGCACTGATTGGGAAGTCACCACAACCTCATCATCCATTTTACAATCGGTCTTACCCAGACCGCGGCACTCTCCCACGGGTCATAGTTGGCTCTCTGTGGGATTTTCCTTAAATTAGTAAAATTCAAGAGCTACATTTCAGTTCAAAAATCAAAAGCCAGTTATTTTTTTGCCCTTGTGTTTCATCTCAGTTTATGTTTGCAGTTGAAACAAAGCAGCTGAACATGTAATCTAAAGGTACACATTGAATTTCTATGGTTTGACCTTGTAAACCTGCCTTTAGATTAGGAGTGGTGATGCTTGTGTAGTTTTAGCAGTTTGACTATCTGTTGGGAATTGATATCCATGTATTTATTTGTGTGTATGTATAATTAGACTTTTTTCTATTTGGCATGTGGTTTTTCACTAATCCCAGCAGTGGAAGACTTTTGCATTTTAAGGGATTCACATCCTAATAGTGTGTGTTGTTCTAGTGTGAGAGTGGTGGGGTTTTGTGACTATGAAGTGTAGACGTTGTACTGAGTAAGCAGGTAGAAAACTGAGAGATGCCAGTGGCTCCCTTCCTAACTGGGATTAGTCTGGGTGGGGCTTTAACACAGTGGTGTGACCAGGAGGAGCATGGGAAGGGTAAACTCTTGTTCGTTTGTACTGTGTGAACGGAAGTGAAACTTTACTCCTTTTATTTCTCCAGGTAACACGGGCCGATCCAGCAAAGGCCTCTTGATGCTGCGTCCCTGCTGGTTCAGGTGAAGGGTAAGTTGAGCTCTCACACACACCTGGAGGCCCCACTTTTTAAGGTGTAATTTAGCCAAAGTTTCTGATACAGTGTGGTTATTTATATTATTTTAAACACTTGAGGTGGGCCTTATTTGTGAACAGGGTTTCTCTCTGGCATCAGTCTACTATCAAAATTTGACACAAATGCAAGCTCATTTTTACCCGTGGCTACCTGGAGGGAAATCTGACTTTCTGAGCAGGAGAACTGGGCCACGTCTCTCAGGGTGAGAAGTCGGCTTCCTGTTTTCCTGTATTTTACAATGAAGCAAAACCATGTCTTTCTACATCCATCTGATTGTGGTGTCATAACAGTGAAACTTAGCAAAGTGCAGCATTTGAAGAAGAGAAACTGACAAAACTTGGATCAGCAGCTGAAAGGGTGTGTCAGATTCAGGCGTGTAGAAAGGAGTGAGTGGTTGAGGTTGCACAAGGACAGCAGGGAGCTGAATGGCTAGCTGTGTAAGCTCTACTAGAGTCTGTTAGGCACATGTGACGTGTATTTTTTATATAAACAGACAATTTCTACCAACATAATACAAAACCTCCTCTCTATAGAAGGGTTCATTTTGTGGTGGAAAAGTAATATTGATGTAACGTACCAGTTCTGTTCTGTGCATTCTGAAATCGATTTGTGGTTGACTCAGGATGAGGGATTGTGCTTTAGTTGCATTGAGAAAAAGACACTTCTCTTCCTCAGACATCACTTGGAAAGCATTTTGGTTCAGCTTGTTTTGTTTTGCGAGTTGCATGAAGATTTATCAAACTATCACTTATTAACCCAAACAAAAAAGGTTAACAGCTGACCGCTTATCTCCTGTTCTGTGTTCTTGTTTTTACTATTTTTAAAGAGTAACTCATAATCAGATCATGTGACATAATGCAATACCTTCATAACAGTTATGAATCCATAAGTTCTTGTTTCTGTTTATTTCTTTCTGCTGATTTGATGGCTAAATTCCTCTCTCATCAGTTTCGTGCTTCAGCAGTAAGATTGACTGTAAATCTTCATATCCAGTCACTCTACCTCATTCACTTACCAGAAATGTCATATACTTGGTGTTTTTTTTTACTGTCATCAGCAGCATAAGCAGTCACTCACCCTGGCAGTTTATAGTTGATACAGTTCGTTACTCAGGTGGGACTTATAAATGTGCTGTGTCTGCAATAGGGGTGGGTGATAGTATTTATGATGAAATCGCAAAAAACTAAATGAAAACATAAAACTGTATCTGTGATTGCAGGTAGCTGCATGTATTAGTGCAGACAAGGAACATTTTTTATCTTTTGTTTACTAGGAAATGTATACTACTGTCGCGCGGGGGGGGGGGGGGGGGGTCTCAACCGAGCATGGCGTAGCCACTCTCTGCAGCTACCATGCCACACAGTGATGCAGGTGCACATGACACTCTCCACTGCACCATGGTCAAAGCGCCAAGAAAGCTGTAGCTCATTTTTACATTTTGAGGTTTCCTACAGAGTTTCAAGCTCTGCCTTTCATCTGTTCTCTCTCTCTCTCTCTCTCTCTCTCTCTCTTTCTCTCTCTCTTTCACTCTCTCTCTCTCTCTCTCTCTCACTCTCTCACACACACACACACACACACACACACACACACACACACACACAAAATCCCTGGTAATTGGGTTCAGTTTTGAAACCCACTCTACCGCCTTAGCAGCTTTCTACTTCTCCTCTAAGAATTACCGTGTAGGAGTGTGGTGCCTCAGACTCTGACTCATTTTAAAACGTAGAATCTCGAGCCATCTTCCTACTTTCTCCTTTATTCTTTGTCTCTGCAACAGCAGATCAGACCAAACATTTGTTTTTTGGACTTTGTCCAATTATCTGTAAATGGTAAAGTTTATTAGATAATGTAATCAGTAGCTTTAGTTGGCAGGTAAAACGTATATTAACATTATAGTATATTCCAGTGGAAAGAAATTTTAATTTAATTTTAGTATTAGTCTTTTGTGGTGTTGGAAGACTGTTAGGTGTTCGCCACTTCTCCTAACCATAAAACTTCAAGGTATGTTTTTAAACAAGTTTCAATAAGGCTTGTGATCGTGTCATTGTCACCGACGTGGCCGCCCTGTTGGACGCTTACGAGTCTTTACTTGTTGCTTGTTACTAGTGTAAACATCGTGCTCAGTCTCGTTCTCGCGGCTTAATTTAATAATATAATATAATAATAATATTAAATCTCACTCACAATCCAGGTAATAACTTATTCCATCTTAATCAAAAAGACATGCTCATGTTTTAGTGTTTTTATTTCTGGGCGATCTCCACATCTTATTACCTTTTCTGCCATGGAGGGTTTTCAGTTCAATAAAAAGGCTTAGTCATAATGCAATAGGACAGTTTAAATTGCTGCAGAAACCTCAACCAGAACAACGGATGGTTTATTATAGCTTTGTAATAGAAGTCAGTGTGCAAAGGTAAATTGGTTGATGCATAGCTATTTTCTTCACACTTCGAGCTCTGGAAGCAAAGGTACATAGTAGAGTTGAGATCTGATCAAAATGTATTTTTTTGGATTTTGGGAATGTATTTTATTAAATGAAAAAGACAACTGCATTAAGAGAGGGTGTGTCAGAACAGATTAAAGTCATGTCAGAGTGAAATAATAAGGCTCTCTGGTATATTAAATGGTCTGCATGAGTCTTGATGTGATGTGCGTTCCCATGCATGTTAGTTCATGTGTGCACATGCTCTTGTCTGGTGCTGTTTCATATGTGCACAAAGGATCCATGTTTAGCACTAAGGCAAGACCCTTTTCTGCATCTGCTCGGCCTGGCAAGGCCTGCTTTTTCCCTGGTTCTCACACACATCAACCACTGGCGTGATTCCAGCAGAGACACAGCCAGCTGGCTCAAGCACTACCGGGTCAAAGTCAAACATGGCTGCAGTTTGTGTCCTGGGACCAGCTCTCCTACTCAGATTTAGTCTATGAAAGTGAACAAGTTGTTAGTTACATTGGCATAGGGAAATCTAAAATAAAAGCTTGATTTTAAAAGCATCTGATCAGTTCTGTTTTATGCTGCTGTTGTGCCTGTTGGAAAACTATGAGATACCAAAGTACGAGTCACCTTGGCAAGTTTGACTTCTCCGTTTTTTATTTTTACATTTTCTTTGATGCCCTGTTGAAGGTTTGCTTTCCTCCTTACCAGGCCCTGATTGTTTTTTTTTTCTTACAGAAGACTCCATAAACCATGCGTACAAAGGGACTTTGTGTTTTCTGCCAGTCTAACCTGAAGGAAATCACACAACATCAGTCAGCTTTTTAAAACCTATTTAAACACTCCTCTGAATGATGAGACTTGCCCACACTTAAAAGCAACAAAAGACTTGATCACTAAAGCAGCAGGAACGCCTCTGCACAGTAATGTGCCAAATTACCAAACTACCAAATTCCTTAAAGCGAAAACATTACAAAAAGATCAAGTAGAGGAAATATAATCTGACAGCCACAAGACTTAAAATAGACCAGTGAAACCACATGTCCTCCCACAGTGTTCCGAAATTAGGCCCACTTTTTACAGTAACAGAAAACCTACTTCTGCCTACTTTAGGTCTTGGCCAACACATTTGATAGTTTGGGATTTTTCATTAGCCTTTTTTTAGTTTAGGATTTGTAATTGTTTGCGAGTTTATGGCTGTCACTGTAGAAAAGCCTGTTTCTAACCTGAGCTCTTTTTGACAAACTTCTAAAGGTTCTGACCGCATTGATTACTAACTCAACTGACCTTGGTCCACTGGCTTTAGTGGCCAATCTGGGAGTTCTGCTCGACAGTGACCTATTTCTGGACAAACAAATCAATGCTGTGACGCAAGCTAGTTTATATCAAGAAGGATTGTCAAAGTTAAGCATGTGCTCTCAAAATGTGATTTTGAGACAGTGATTCACACATTTATTACGTCACGTCTTGACTATTGCTACTCACTGTACCTTGGTGTCCCTCAGTCTCATCTCTCCCGGCTTCAAATGGTGCAGAATGCAGTAGCACATCTATTGACGTGTTCGAGAAAGAGGGATCACATCACCCCAATTTTAGCTTTGCTGCACTTGCTGTCTGTTGATTTCAGATCAGTATAAAGTGCTTTTATTGGCTTTTAAAGCTCTACATGGCCCTTCCTCGCAGTATCTCTGCGAGCCACGGTCGATTGACTAGCTTCCCCTGGAGGTGCCAAGACCGAAGCAGAAGCTCAGGGGCGACGGAGCTTTCTTGGTAGCAACCCCAAGGTTGTGGATTGCGCTGCCAATTCAGATTAGGAATCGCTTTAAATTGCTTTCAAAAACGTATCTGTTTTCAGTCGCTTTTAATTCAGTGTGACAGTGCACCTGTTTTGGTTTTTGTTTATTTCCTATATTTTGAGCCTTTTATCATAATATAATTTTCTTGGCATTGTAGTACATTGCTGTTGTTTTTGCTGTATTTGTTTTGTTAAACACTTTGGTCAGGTTTTATGCTGCTATAAAGTGCTATATAAATAATGTTGACTTATTTCTGCTGATCTGAAAATGTAATCAGATATTTGCAAATGGCAAAAGCTGTGAAATCTTTATTAATGGTTAAACTGGGTGTTAATACTTGATATTGATTATTTTAAACATACATTGATAATAAGACATGATGTTGACATTGTGAAATACATTTTGCAGAGAGCATTTTGCAAGAAAAAGGCCTGCATATGTTGATCATTAGCTACAATGTTATGTTATTTCTTTATAAAAGTGTTGCATCTACTATTATATTCATCAGTCTCTATTGATGAGCCATATACTTCACTTGGTACAATCTCATTGGTGTATATCTGGGCCATGTGGCCAGCCATTAGTCCCGTTGCCATTGGATACCAGGGTTTAATGTGATGGTGGGGGGAGGGGAGGGGGCGAAGGAGGCATAGATTGGCAGATGAGAATGTCTGGTTTCAATCTGAGCCCAAAAACAGCTGGTTTGGTGATGGTCAGCCTTGTA